ATTTATCAAATTAACTTATGTAGAAAGAATTCTATATTTCTGGAAATCTTGATTACAATCTAATAAACGAAATTTATGGAATTCTTAGTTCACAATCAAAGTTTGCGCTTAAACTCGACACATTTCCGCCCTGTTAATTTTTTAATCAAAATTTTACTTTCTCGGCAGAACTTTAATGATACTTATTGAAAAACAATCTTCGTAGAATATTTAAATTCAGTTACATTATTTGTAGTAATATTAAAGCATGCTATTCCAAAAAAATAAATAAGCGGGAGCAAATAAGTAAGGCATCTAACGCGTCCAACAGTCCAACTTCCTTTCCGAATGGAAGTCTCCTAGTGGCATTGATAACGTGAGTCTCTTCAAAGATTTTTCTTTATTTACAACATTCATTGCTATATAAATTGAAAGAAATTTACAACCGTAGTGCCAAATCATACAGGAATTTAATTGCATGTGAAAATTGGGTCGTGTAACAAGTAGATGCAACAAATAAATACGATAACTGTATCGGCTAGTACACGTGGTCTTGTTCTAACAATTATTTATTAGTAGTAGCACTTTTCGAAGTAGTTAACTTGTATTGCACTGAGATTCTTTCGTTTTAATGTCATATTTTGTTGATTATATTAAAATCGGAATTCTATTTATTCTTCTTACGAACTTAGGTTATGTGGTTCGGTATCATTGAACTGTTTATAAATTTCAATTCCTTATTCATTTATTAGGTTATTCGTAATTCAACCAAACGTTAAGATGTCAGGAGGTTTAGATGTATTATCCCTCAAAGAGGATGATGTTACTAAAATGTTAGCAGCCTACACACACTTAGGTGCTGAGAATGTTAACTTTCAAATGGAACAGTATGTGTACAAAAAGAAAAATGATGGTGAGTATATTTTTGTTTCACATATGATACCATCCATTTGTGTTTAATCAATAGATTATATCTTGAAATGAAGGTATCAGTATCATCAATTTAAGACATACGTGGGAGAAGTTGCTGTTAGCAGCACGTGCAATTGTGGCTATAGAACATCCTAGCGAAGTATTCGTTATCAGTTGTCGGCAGACTGGCCAAAGAGCTGTTCTGAAATTTGCCCAGCACACTGGTGCTACACCAATTGCTGGCCGCTTTACTCCTGGTGCATTTACTAATCAGATTCAGGTTGGTTGTAATGCAAAAATGAGAAAGCACATATAATGTTCATTATCATGTAGTTATTGCAGTAGTGATACAAGCGATGATTTTCAGTCAGCTTTCCGTGAACCACGGTTACTGATCGTTACCGACCCATCCACCGATCACCAACCAATTACTGAGGCCAGTTACGTCAATATTCCGGTAATTGCTTTTTGCAATACTGACTCGCCTCTCCGTTTCGTCGACATCGCAATTCCCTGCAACACGAAGAGTCTTCACTGCGTTGGTCTCATGTGGTGGTTACTCGCAAGAGAAGTATTAAGGCTGAGGGGATCCATCGCACGCGAAAGCAAATGGGATGTTGTCGTCGACTTATTCTTCTACCGAGATCCAGAGGAGGTCTGTTCTTCCCAACTTTGTATCAGAATCTTTTATTCTTGTCTTATAAATGATGACAACACAGTCAGAAACAAACATGTTGACGTTATTTACTTATGGCTTAATCTTTGCTGAACATATCGTCCATTAACTAATGTGTATTTAACTATAAATTTCGAAGATAATAACGTATCGGAACGTTTTCATAGGCTGAGAAAGAAGAACAAGCCGCGAAGGAAATCGCACCGGCCAAAGACTTCGCCGCAGTCGAGGTGACAGCTACTGCCGAGCCTGGCTGGGTCAATGAAGTTGACACTGGTGCGGTGGCTCCTGAAAATTGGGCCGATGATGTAGCGACACCAGCTGCAGCTGCTATTCCGGCAGCAGGTGCTGCACCCGCGTTCCAAACCAGTGGAGATTGGGCTGCTCAGGTAAAAATTAGATTTGTAAGATCCGATAATTCGCTTGTATCGGCATTATGTATTTTATCAATTATTGTAGACGTCCGAGGAATGGACCACCGCGGCACCAACTGCACCTGGACAACAAAGCTGGGGTGGAGCTACTTCAGAGAAATGGTAATTTCGTTCTCTTTGACGATTTCATATTAATGACACACTTTGTACAATGAACGTAATAAAGTTGTGAGAATGTCAAAGTATTATGTGCGAATATAAAGAGTGTGCTTGGTTACCTAAGCGAACCAAGTTCCGTATCCTCCCGATTCATCATAACATTCGTTAACATATGCATTGCAGTATTAAAAGATCAAGATAGAAGTCAAAATTCGTTCATTTTTCCAAAGATTATACTTTGGAAATGATGAAATGAACATACATACTACGCATGTGTACGGATAACAAGTGGTACATCTTAGATATTTTTATTAATTCACATAATCTCAGTGACAAAGTAGTAAGTTATAAAGTACAAAAATAGGTGAATAGATACGTGAACGTTACTTATTAACTATAATAATTAATATATAAATTATAAATGAAGGTATTAATTGAATATGTCATCAGAAGAAGGCATTGTCTCAGAAGAAAAAGCATCTGAATTCATGAACATATAAAATGCTTCTTTAAAAGGAAGATCACTAAATATATTCAACTTCTGCTCCAATTTTGATAAGCACATCTTTCTTTTTTCTAGACCCACGCCTTTACGATTCGCATATTCATATGAAAGATTAGTGACATGGAAGTTGTCATTTACTTCTATTGCTAGATGAATAATGTCTGTTGAATGTATTTTCTCCATATCTTTTGGCCAGGCTTTCTCTTTTAACGTTATCTGTATTTTGCTTAAACATAAGCTTACGTCAAATTCTATATCTTTATAAACTTCTTTTGCATTATCTATTAAACTATACACATATCCTATCTTTTGTGCACGGAAATGTAATGCTCCCTTTAAATTTTGTATCATTCTAAGAGTGCTTGGTCCAATAGGATCATAAGTGCCCTTCTCAATGCGTTTTTTGCTAAATGTCACATTCTCTGGCAGACGAGAATGACCTAGACTGATATACCATTTGCGTGAAAATTTGTCATAAACGATTGTTACTTTATATCTGATGCCTGGTATATGAGTTACAGTGGAATCGGGTTTATAACTGTAACGTACCCTATTCTTTGCTAAGTAAACATTCATCCCACATTGATGTTCGACCTCTTCTGCAAGGTTTGGATTTTCGCTTATCTTACGTATCCAATTTTTGTACTTTGCTTCACCTTTTTCTCTACGTTCAATATATTGATAAAATTCTTTATGAGTTGGTGATTGCAATAATTTTTCGCGTGTCTCGGGATCGCTGGAATCGTAAACAACATCGCCTTCTACGTCTCTTCGAGAGTTAGTACAATAGATATCAGTCAGTCTTGGCGATTCAAGGAACTCGTCCTGTTCATTGTCCGTCTCCTGATTGCTCATCCTTTACATCCATTCGAATTAAATTATACAGATTAGATTTCCTTCAAAAAGCAAAGAATATTACATGAATTCAATAGGTTTAATTCCGAATGATATCATAAAATGAAAACATCGCAAATGTTTTCTGATTTCAATCGATTACTATAGAGATCGATTTGCAATATTTATAAATATTACCTGTTTCTAAATAAACTGCAAGAATTGTATGTAAAGATTTTTAAACATAATAAAGACTTTAAGCTCTGGAAATTTTTGAAGAGCAGATAGAGCGAGATATGATTTATTTATGACCGTACTCATCCTTACCTTTTTTATAGCAAACAATTTTATTGATTGATTCTAATTATTGATGCTAGCGAATAAATTGTCCCTGGTGCTCAAATTTGACGACACTAGTTACCAGTTTTCTATACAGTTTACCATCTATGAAAATACATAGGCAATGATCAAAGTACACATTTATATATATATATATATATATATATATACATATATATACATATATGTGTCTGCTTGTCTCATTCACGTGTTGTATAAAACGATATGTAGCACGTGTTTTTTATTTAACGCAATAGCCGCTGTATTAATAATCGTTCAGAAGTGTTGTGTAAAATAAATAGTACAATTCATATTAGAAAGATGTTCGAAAGTAATGACTGGGATCTGGACCAGGTACATAAACCATTCATAAATCTAGAAATATTAAATATCGTACCGTATGAGAATGACCGTTTGAAGGAAATTAATTGAAGAACTAATTAAAGATTGATTTGTTCGCGAACGAGACACGCCGTTATTTTACATTGGACTAATACGAATAGAACGTGTCCTAACTTTAATTTTTCCACGTATATTTTTAGGATTTACTGAACGATGTCGATGCTAAAGCATTCGATTATTACTATCAACTGGACGATCAAAACACAGCAACGAAGAAACGTAAACTTGACACCGATGGAAGCTCTGCTTGCTTGCCTAACACGGATTCGTTGGAAACAGGGGCTGTTGATAAAGGAAAAGACAAACAATCTAGAAAGAATTTAATTCTTAAATTGTTTAACAAGAATTCATCAGATAAGAATGTATCTCAAGGTGCATCGACCAAGCCGACAACATCGTGCGATGATCCCTCGAACCAAACCAATATCAAGAGCATTCAAGATTGTGAGAGCACTCAATTACCAAGAAAAAAGTTGATACTTAACATATTGCAAAAGAATAATTCACGTAGTCAAGAGATCACAGAACCGAATCATACCGAAAAACTGAGATCAAAGACAGTTGTATCGGACAGGGAGAATAATGCAACATTGAAAAATGATGTATTCAAGTCTCCTCAAAAGAAAATGACGTTGATCAGGAAGTTCCCTGGACCTGCTGGTTTATTGCCAGACGACATGGACCACAACGTCGCATGCTTTTCATATTTAAAAAGCTTGGAGGAAAGCGAGGCACGAGAAGATAAGACCTCTACGAAGTTACCCGAATATTGTTCTCAAAACACAACGAATCTATTCACGGAAGGTGCTTGGCAATTAATGTTGAACGATTTGCCAGACAGTTTTCTAAATGGATACGATATCGCTTCTGTCAAGCAAAAGGCTGCCCTGAACAGCCGCGGTGACATAAAGGTGAAGTTCTTGGCAGGAATAGTAGAACAAATAGATTACAATTACGAGAATCCACCGATCGTGCTGAAAGATTTTTCGGACAGTATTCGAGGCATTGTCCATAAAGATATATCGTTAAAGTATCCTGGTCTATTAGAGTCGAACGTCGTCCTGTTGCTGCGCGATGTTGGCCTCTTAAAGATCCCGGGAATTTCCACTGCCAATAAATATCAAATTTTGATTTCTCCCTCTAGTCTTTTAGCGATTTACGCTCGTAGTGGTACGGTAGAACGTACGGAGCATATGGAATCAATTTTCGGAGGTTCGGTAGATAGGAGAAAGGCACAGGGTCGCACTTTCGCGTCGGACACCAATACTCAAAATGCTAGTCACGATAAGAAATTGAACAAGTTCGATGACGACGACACGGACATACCGATAGATCTCGGTTCTGATTTATCCTTTCAGTTTTTATCTGAAATTACGGATTTACGAAATGATTTTGATGCGTCAATATCTAAAATAGTGACGGAGAAACCAAAGAAGAAAGAAGACTTGGGAGGGTCTTTGGGGGAAAAGAAGAATCTATCGAGTGATGATAAAGGGAGAACTAAGGTTGAGGATTTATCAGGAGGCTCGAAGCCGTCCGTTTGTAATCCTGACGAGAATGAAAATGTGTTAGGCAATTGCGAAACCGCAAAGACGAAAAAGGCTTCAGAAAAGAGACTGACTGATGTCGACAGTGATGACGAGTTACTATCTCAAATGGATATAGATTTTTAGTAATTACTTTAATAGAGTAATGAAAGAAATCGCATTTCCGATTCACGTTACCTGAATATTGTTTAAGATATTGTAAATATCATTTGTGTATATATGTTTATAACTTTTTTACGGAAAATATTCAAATAAATGGTAAATATAAATTATTTACGACTAAAAAATGGAGTAGCATGTAATTGCATTTGCAGTACATGTGCGAAACGATATTTGCTATACAGGTGACAGCGTTTACGCCAATGGGAATCTATTGGATCAACCTTGATGTACCCTGATTATGCCTACGATCGCGCGATTATGAAGTGCAATTTACACGCATTAGTTACGTGAGACAGATATCCGCGTTACAATAAAATCGAACAAGAAATTGAGTCGAGATCGTTTAATACGTTCCAAAACCGAGTGAACATTGATCGGACGTAGCTCACGATAAGAAAATAATACAAACACTATCATCGCGAATATGACAAATTAATAATCTCCTAACTAATCTTATCCAATTTTATAAATCTCCCAAAAGTATAGATACCCACTTGAAACAGAGAACATTGGATTCAACGATTAACATCGTTTTGTTCTGACTGTGGAAAATATAGAACGATTACTGATAATGCGATGTCGATTAATATCAATAGGATTTCAATGATCGATTTTACATTATTCTCAGCGATTACAAAATACGAAATTGAGTTCGATCTTGTCATATGCGTGGCGAAAAAATTCCATACAATTATATGTTATTGTTTAAAATTACAAAAGGAACTTGAAACAGTACATATATGCTTTCATTCAATCGATGAAAGAAACTGCAGCCTCTCTGTTTTCATCTATATCTTTGCTGTTCTTTAACGAAACAGATAGCGAGCGATGCGATCATTGTACGATTGTAAACGTGAGATTACAATTATCAGTCATCGGTACCAGCCGGATTTCAGATCGTCGACACGGCAATCCATAATTTCGCGAAACAATTACGCGCGTTAAATTTAGTACCGTTTTAGATTAGACGAATTATACAACGGGTTCATATTGTTAGACTGTGCGTCTCGAGATAAAGGATTACGAGCAAATAAAGCTTTTCGTTTAACGTGCTCGACGCTCGACGCATCGAAAATAATTCTCTCAGGCGCTTTCCTCGTCGTACGAGCACGCTTACGCAGCGTGGATTACGCTTCTCCCATATTTTTATTAACTGAAAAATGGTAATCGCCGCGTAAATATTTCATATGCCCGTAATTCATAAATCACGTGCGGAGTGTCGTTCTAGAATCGTTGTCTACAAACAAAATGAATTTACAGACCTTATTTCTTGTCTGGACTACGTTTACAGAAACATTTTGAATATCCACTTGCGTCAATTCTGAATTTCGTAAGGCAAACATTCGTACATTATTGCTATAAATCGCATTATTATTATTACGTTTAATTTGTTTTTGGGCACGAGTCACGAGACGTTTACTTCAGATATATCTGTAATAAGTGAGAACAGATTATCGGATGCGCGGCGCGTAATTGCCGTGAATTTATGGCAGTGATTTCGAAGAAACTGCCGAGGAAAAATTATGCCAATTATATGAATTATTTTTGTGGGACAATCGTTGTTATCTCACTCACACACGCATACGCGATGTCTCGTCAACGACGATTGTCCTGGCAAAATAATTTACAAGCTGGTAAGCGGCTTGCACACAAAACGTTTATCATCCAACCGGCTGTAAGACGTAAAGTTATTTCAGCAACTCTACGGTTCTCCTTAGGCAAAAGTGCATGTGATTTGTCTTTGCAAGTCATCGTGCAACGTGAGCTACGATAAATCGTATCGTGTTTAGCTTTAATCGAGCCATGCACATTCGTGGGATATGCAACACGAATCGTACGACCGTAAAACGAAAGAAGAAGAATTATTCGCAGTACACGCGTGCACACCGTGTGCCATAAAGAAATGAAAACGCTGAACCATTCGCGTAACTTCGTGAAATTTTAATTTCTGATTAGTAGTCACGCGTTAAGTGACATACCGGTGCATCGCAGAAAGACGTTTCAAGCGTTTACGTAGATTCTCTTACGATTCGATTTGTGTATATATACTTTTTACTGAGGACGTTGCGAAACGAGAAAATAAGTAGCACACGTCGTACGCGAGCCCTGCCTATCGTATAATTTTCCAACAATTTATTTCTCGATAAAATTACACAGTTATCTCTGCAGATTTTCTATCTTCGTCCTTTCTCTCTCGCGTGAAGAATGTATCTTTACTCGGTGCCAATATAGTACAGACATTGAATAATAATATGTACGCGAGATAATACAAATTCGGAGATAAGTACTTAAGCGAAAGACAGCGCGTCACGTTACGAGCGCAGAACAGGCGACGGTGGTTGACGGATGACCGCACGAACGACTGAATGAATTGTCGTAACCGCGATCGCAATTGACGTACACAAATGCGTTTACCACCGAAAAAGGTATAACGCGAGTACGTGTCGAAATTATTAATTCCCTCGATTTAATCGGGATCGCATACCTACGTGGCCCGAGTATGCGTGCATGCACGTACATAGCATAGATAGACGCGTCGTACACGCGACACGGCAGCACTTGCCCGTTCGTGGAATTAGTTTGCCCATTATTCGTTGATCCGATGTAAGTCACGTGTGGCCAGGGGAAAAGAAGTTAATCTGTCTATCGGACTGGTGCCGAACTATCGGTAAGTCGTGACCGCGGAAAAAGCGAGCGATCCTCGATAGGCGAGCAGATAGAGAGGGGATAAATTCGTACAACGCGCGGAGTCCCCGACGAGGATAGCACAGGCAGGGCAGAATGGCACAGACACGGGGCACAGTACAGCCGGGCGCGCGTCGCGAAACAGGTGATGGTGCATTCGTTGAAAAAAGTAACGATGCCTCGTTTCGATTGATCTCGGTCGAAAATCGGAAGAACGGAGAAATTCGGGATAGTACGTACGAATTCTTCGCTTTCGACATCGTCCAACCGACGTGACGACTTTGTGCCATTTCCTGCGCGCTTTATCCCGCCTTAGCGGTCTACGGATTTAATTTTCTCTTTCCCGAGCCATTTTACATTTCGTCTTGATGATAAGTACCGAGTTTTCGAATTGATGAAACTCACGAAGATACGCGAGAATCTCTAAAGGAATCGTAACGGTGGAAATTCGAGGAGCAACAGAAGCTGACTAGGAATGCACGGACCCGTGATCGCTGCCCGGATTACGTTCCCGTGGAAATAAACTTCGCGAAACTTAAACGAAGTTTCAAGTAAGCGGTTCTTTCTAACTATTCTAACTCGAGAAATATAAAGTTTTTTTTAATTCGTTTCTATCGCGAATCGAGCGCGATAAAGCGTAACGAAAATCCATAATTTGTCCTACCTACTCGCTAACGAATGCTAACGATGCGTAACGTACAATATTTTCAAACGCTTTTAGTATAGTTTTCTCAATTAAAAGCAAATCACTTTTCCTAGAATCGTTCGCGTTCTAATTTCCATTAGCGAAAAAGGAGAACTCGACACAGACGCGACGCGAAGGTGAAAGTAATTTAAACGAATGTTGGTAAATGAGAAGATAGTTTTGAAAGATCAGTCAATATTTTCCATAGCTCTTTCCATCATACTTTTCTCGCTTCAAAGATCACCGATCTTTTGCGAAATAACGAGTCGTCGTACGCAACCCGAAGGTGCAGAGTACTTGCGCAATGGCCTTATACATATCTAAAAGTATCGAATCGCGTGCTGCATAGCTAATGAACCAGGTCCAGGACGATCTTTCGTGACATAAATTTCGTAACAGAGTCTACATTACGCGAAACCAATAGGCGTGGGTGTGCGTATACCCTATGTTTCGTTTACACACTCTGCACCACCTCATATATCATAGAAATCGAACGGCGAAGGAAACGGTATATTTACACGGCCTTAAAATGCGTCGATTGCAAATCGATCATTTATCATTTCCATCGGTATCCGAATCAGAAAAAAAACGTGAACCAGTTTTTTTTTCTGCTATCGCCGTCCACATCTCGTCGAGGCGGAAAAGCTGCATACAGTCAGTGCCTACCGGAGCGCGCGGTTTGTACAACGAATTTTAATTGGTTTTGACAACGAACCTACGTACGTTCGTTCGTTCTCCCGAGCTAGTTCGTAGGTGCTAAGCGAATAGCGCAACAATTTGCGAATAATTTAGCCGGTATTGTGCGATAATAGGTACACTGCGGTTCGGAATGCTGTTTTATCATACTCTTTAACCGGTTCATGCTAGAACGGTATCAGATGAAAAAAATACGTCCATGATGTTGCTTTCTAACAACGATATATCGTAATTTGATTCACGATATCGCCGGACCTTGGACGATCCTACAAGAAATATGAAGAAAAACACGCGATTCGATTCGATATTCCGATGTGAAATCGATGTCTGCGGCTGGCGAAGAAAAAAAACTTCTTTTACGAGGTCCACGGATATCTAAGCGGCAGTTAGAAACGAGGAAACGTAGAGCGACGTGGAGGACAGTCGAATAAATTTTTCACGCATTTCCCCGCCCGATCTTATCTCCGGTTTGTGAAACTGCTAAATTGATCATGAGAAATGTGCAAATCAATGTTTCGACTTCTTTTCGCCGCTGACACAAGTCAATTAAGCCAAAGATAGGATCTAAATAGCTATTAAAAAAACATAATTAGTTTCTGACTCGTTGCGTACACGTGAACGATTTACTTTTCAACGATTTCCTCGAAACATAATTCTGAAGTCTATTTACGTCACGAGATAAATAGACTGGATAAAGAAAGAATTAGTCAGATTAGATGATCGAGAAACTTGAACAGAATCGCAAAGATCAGCCACGGTCGTCTGAGTGCAATTTCGCCATTCGATTATTGTGTCAACAGCGTAATTCAAGTGCACGGTCGCATACCTCTAATCGTGTCCGTTGTCGAACTACTATCTGTCTATTTAAGTTATTTACGCACCATCGTATCTTCTTTCGCGAAGTTAGTCCTCGTTAAGTGAGTATTCTTTTTCCACGCCGTTTAATTCTACCTTGACAGGCACGAGGCCACCACCTCTTTCTCGTCATTGCCGATCGATTCTTGTACGTACATTCGTCGCCGTAGAGCGTAACATTCCTCATCATTCATTATTAACGTTCCCATATTAAATGTCAACCACTAATCCTTTTCCGGCGAACGGATTTCCCTTAATATTCACGAAACAAGTTTTACGTATTCGCCAGCAGTCCGCGAAGGACGGAAGTTTCCATTTGACGTCGTCTCAAGTTCAAGGAAAGAATTTGAGGACTCGTGGACATCGTAAGAGCCTAAAGAGTTATGACAACGGCGAATGGTGAGTGATTCGAATATTCGTGAACAACTTTTTAATTAATGCCACTCTCGGTTTAGCGTCATCGGCCTTCGTTCGTCTAGCATAATATACAGTGAAAGGGTCCGAACGAATCGGTCGTTTCGGACACCACCGGAGAGTAGATCTACGTATCGCGAATATAAATTGTCCTTTCTACGATTCGCCCTCGGTCGACGTGATCGATTTTTTAACACGTGCGAAACAGAAGTTCGCGCAAATGCATGCTTCATCGTTTCAAATGCAGTCGTGTTTGATGGCTCGATAACGAGCGATCATTATCGCGTCTCAACCGGAGCAAACGAATTATTTTTCAAAGGAATTATCGCGTTCAAATGAGAAAATATTGTCGGAGGGTTGATCGACGACATTGATTCATTGAACGCGATAACAGGAGAAAACTGCCATTGAAACTAGCGATCTCACCGTTCGATTACATCGGATTACGCGCGGATTAGGCTTTTTCCTAGGTGGAAAGTATTTCCTGTGATTTGATCGGTGTTTACGAAACAGAAAGATCGTATCAACGCGATAAGCTTTGATGCTTTAGTTTCCGCTCCATTGTTGTATGTAGAATATCATCGTTAATGATCTATAGCGCACAGTTATCGGAATAATAAAAAGTAGATACACGTATCTAAGTGAGCTAAAACTCTGGTACGATCGATCTTTCGGTGCCAATTCTTAGCTCGCGACGTCGCGGTCCCGAATATACGCATTTGTACCGTGAAAGGCAGGAGCGAGCGCGTCATTCTTGATTTATTTCGCTCAGGAATAAAGAATGATGAAACGTCGGAAGTGCAGTGGCAGAAGATACATACCGGTCAAGATGAGGACATGGTGAGTGAGTCTCCGATTCGAGCTCCGTTCGATAGAACACGAGCGTACAATGAACGTACAATTTTCAGCGTATATATGGATTCGAGGAGAGCAAGCTGAAATGCATTCTGACTTATATTTCTTACGCGTTGACCATCGGCTGCTTGAGACTCCTCTTCCACTGGTACCCACGGCTGCACCTCTACGCCACCCATAAAAAATGTTCCCTGAGCGTTGCCACGAAACTGCTCGTAACCGTAAGAAATTTATCGAAACGACGCTTCTTCGCTCGCATTACCTAATCGTAGAAATGAATAGAAGGAAAAGAAACGTGTTTGCATGCGTAGGATAACTACCAAGGGAGGTACAAGTCTTATTTCGTAGAGGATGTGAAGACGATATCGGCGAGGAACATCAGGTCAGCACGACCGTAGGTTTTCGACCGAATACTGCCAAATGTGAAACCCAAAATATAAGTTCTAATTTTGTTTTCGATCAGCCTGGAGAATGTATCGAAGAACGCAGTGAACAGCGACGAGAATCTGGACGAGAAGATCCGGTGTAAGAAATTACGAATCAATTTAGAGAATGGCACGCAGTGCCAGGTGTTCGAGTACAAGGCGTTCTGGTGTAAAAAGCAATGTTACGTATGGGACATCACGCAGAACACGTTCTCGAGATTAGTCGGTCTAGATAAATATACGCTTTGTACCGATCTCCATCTAAACAACGACCGAGGACTCTCGAGAGAGGAACAATGTCTTAGGTAATAACGAAGTTGAAATCGATTCGTATGAACAGTTGCAATTACTCGGGCATACTTATGTTGCTTATTATTATCTATTCTGCAAGAATCTTACTGGTTAATTACTCGAAAATAATTGAGTTCCCACCTTCTGTTTCGATAACGTGTCGATAACATATCGTTTCATTATTACAGGCGCATTGTGTACGGAAACAACGAGATCGTGGTACCCGTGCAAAGCATAGGCGTGTTATTGTTGTTGGAAATATTGAATCCGTTTTACATTTTTCAAATTTTCACTCTGTGCGTATGGCTCGCAGAAGGTTACTTATACTACACCGGGGCTATTATATGCATGTCGGTTTTCGGAATCACGAGTTCCATCGTGCAGACCCGTAAGGTAAATCGATCGTCATTCTTCGAGCGTTTGTCGAATCATTCGGATGTCATTGAAACACGAGACTTTTGCAGAATCAAATAAATCTGTGCGGCACTGTGGCGTCCAGCGAGACCGTTCGCGTGCACCGGAGCTCGAACCAGGTGGTAAACATATCGAGCAACGAGCTGGTACCGGGCGACATAATAGAATTGCCCAAGCACCAGGCCACCGTCGTCTGCGACGCGGTACTCTTGACTGGACAATGCATTCTAAACGAATCGATGCTGACCGGTACGAATAAACGACGAGCATCGGTCCCTGATACCATTGTTACGTCAAATTCAAATTTTAGGGGAGTCCGTGCCTGTCACGAAAACACCACTGCCGTCGCGTCACGTTCTCTACGACCCGAGAGAATGCTCCCACCATACGATATTCAGCGGCACGACTATCATCCAAACCAGGTTGGTACTCGCTGTGTACGAACTTTTGCGCAACGTTTGAAAAATTCCAAACGAACACAGGAGTTACGACGACGGTCCGGTTTTGGCAAGAGTGATACGAACCGGATATCACACCAGCAAAGGTTCTCTAGTCGCTGCCATACTGTATCCACCGCCGGCCGATTTTAAGTTCGACCAAGATTCTTATAAGTTCATCGGGATATTAGCGTTCATAGCAACCTGCGGTTTCTTGTACACCATCATAACTAAGGTGCGCTTGTCGTCGATACCGGTGTCAGAAATATTCTTCGAACGTCCAACGAATAAGTGTCGTTTTCCAGGTTTCCAAAGGAATTACACCGGGAGATATAGCGATAAAAGCATTGGACATAATTACGATCGTGATTCCGCCAGCACTGCCAGCGGCGATGACGGTGGGAAAATTATACGCGCAAGCACGATTGAAACGCGCGCAAATATATTGCATCAACGATAGAGTTATTAATGTGTCTGGCAGCATAAATTGCGTATGTTTCGATAAGGTGAGATTAATGTATCTGGTATCGGTGCGCATTCTCATTCGTTCGCGTTTTCTAATTTGAAATCGCCCGTAGACCGGTACTTTGACCGAAGACGGATTGGACATGTGGGGTATCGTGCCTTGTATGAACGGTGTTCTCGGAAAATCCGTGAAAACCATTCCCAACGTAAGCGATCACCCGCTTTTCGAGGGTATGCTAGTTTGCCATAGCTTAACTCTAATCGATGGCGAACTTTGCGGTGATCCTTTAGATGTTAAGGTATTATTCTTACTGTGTTTCTTCCCTTTCTCTCTCTCTTTTAAATCTATCATCGAACATCGATCGTTTCAGATGTTCGAAAGTACAGGATGGATATTGGAAGAGTTCAATAACACGACGAAAGATAATTTCCTGGCTCCGACCGTCGTGAAGCCGTTAAAGAAGAACGGCTACACGGAAAATATGAACGAAATATCGGAGATTGGTATCGTGCAACAGTATCAATTCTCAAGTTCCCTTCAACGAATGTCGGTGATAATGCGCGTGCGAGGTTCTAGTACTTTTAAAGCTTATACGAAAGGTTCTCCCGAGATGATACTCAGCTTGAGCAAGCCCGAAACTATACCGAAAGATATCATGTTTTGTTTGAAAAGTTATACGGAACAGGGGTATCGTGTGATAGCCATGGGGCGGACGGAATTGCCTAATAATAGCGAAAAGGTAACGCAATTACTGATAGACATTAATCGATGAACTAATTTAATACTTACCATTTTTCTTTTTTTAACCGCAGATAACGAAACTGCCTCGAGACGCGGTGGAGCAGAATTTAGAATTTCTAGGATTAGTAATCATGGAGAACAGATTAAAGACGCCGACTATACCGGTGATCAAGGAGCTGAGAGCAGCCAACATCCACGTATTGATGATTACAGGTAATTAACGTTAAACATCGTGCTCGCGTTGATTATTGCCCGCTTATATACGTAGGTAATATCGTGAACCGCGAAATGACCGTTCGTACGATTTGTTCACTTCGCGTTCAGGGGATAATATCCAGACCGCGGTGAGTGTTGCGAAGGAATGCGGTATCTTGTCGCAGCAGGAGATCGTGATAGACGTGACGGTGGTAACCGAAGAGAATAACTCCCAGCCGAAAATCTATTTCAACCTTCAAGAGATGTCATCAAAATTGGTAACGCTCGTTCGGTTGGAAATTATTTCATGAACGCGGATTTACCGGATGGCGCTCGTTTTTCAGAATTTTCAGAAAAATAGGTTTGCGTTACGCGAATTGAAGGACGTCGAACGGAGCGTCGGTACCACTAATTATCGTTTCGCGTTAACGGGCCAGTCGTGGCAATTGTTGCGCGAACACTATTCGGATCTCGTCCCAAAAATTTGCGTGCGCGGCGCGATATTCGCCCGTATGAACAGCGATCAGAAACAGCAACTGGTTTTGGAGTTGATGCAACTCCGTTATTACGTGGGTACGCATATACACTTCGCAGAGGACTAATATTTACTTTATCTCCGTTGTAATCGTCGTTTTAAATGTCATTTCGTACACAGCAATGTGCGGCGACGGAGCTAATGACTGCGGCGCTCTGAGAGCCGCGCACGTCGGCGTGTCCTTATCCGAAGCGGAATCTAGGTAACTGTCTTATAATCAGTCTCGGCATGTTTACGTAACAGCGTGAGGCTATTTTATTAATTAATAACTTTCGTTCTGCGTACGATTCGGCACAAGGCTAACGTTTTCGAAGACATAAAATATATATAATCTTCTTGACGTTCGCTGAAACACGTGTAATTTTTCAGTGTCGCCAGCCCGTTTACGTCCAAGGTGCCGGACATCAGGTGCGTCCCGAAGGTGATAAAGGAAGGTCGCGCAGCTCTGGTTACGTCGTTCGGGATCTTCAAATTCATGGTCACCTATTCCCTGACCGAATTTTTGTCTGTTATCATTCTCTACTCGATCGATTCTAATCTAACGGACTTAGAGTTTCTCTTCATCGATATCTGTCTCGTAGTACTTTTCGCTTCATTTTTCGGTAAAACCCGCGCGTACGAGACGAAATTAGTAAAGAAACCGCCAATGACCAGTCTGCTGACGTTCACCTCGATCTTCTCTCTATCCGTACACATGCTGATAATGACCATCTTCCAAACTATCGCTTATTACGCGGTCCGCCAATTCCCATGGTTCACACCGTTCGTTTATACGGAGGAAACCGAGTACGCTTGTTACGAAAATTATTCCGTTTTCTGCGTCGCCATTTTCCAGTACATAACGATGGCTATAATATTTTCACGTGGTAAGCCTTATCGAAAAGCGATCTATACGAATATCGCGTTTATGTTCTCGCTGATAGCGATGACGCTCGTTTGCGCGTACATAACGGTTTATCCAGCGGGTTGGATAGTGAATTTGCTTCAACTGCATCTTCCGCCTGAGTACGACTGGAGGATAATCATATTGGTGCTCGCATTCGCGAACTTCGTTCTTTGCTTCTTCGTCGAGTCCTTTGTGATCGAGTATCTGATCGAGAAGAAGTTCCGAGAAAAGTTCTACAATCCCAAGAAGTCTAAGAAGGAATACCTTCGAGTGGAACACGAACTGGCGAATGATCTCAGTTGGCCGACGATTAGCAAAGAGTTGCCGACGTTACCGTTGACGCCGAGCGTTGAGAACATTATTAGTAGCGTAACGTATCCGACGAATGTGGACGGTGACCAACTCGACCGGACGGCGGTCGAGTCGTCGAACAAAGGTAACGACCGTGACCGTGACGACTCGTGTGATTACGCGTTCGACAATTACACATTCGTCGACGACGAGTCGCGGGAAGCGCACATGATAACTAGATGTTAAGACAAGATGTGCGACACAGTATTTCGGATCCGATGTCTTCCTAAGAAAGGATATACCAGTATTTGTACATAGCTGTAATAACTTGCGAAATATTTTCGAAACTATTTTTTTAGAGATACAACGTGAAATACGTACAATATATGTACATGGATAATTTTTAATCGTTGCGTACAAGGTATACGTAATGTAAGGAGAATCTTTCAAAATGTTCGTAGCGAAAGTATTAATTTATTCAAATACAAAAAAAAGAAATCGTAGAAAATCTTGGATGTTGACGCTTACTTATACATACGATGACATTTACTTATATATACAAATGCTTTATTTACATATCGTTTAGTTAATAGAAAATTTGGGTGTCCAAGAAATAAAACAAATTACATATCATAAGACGAGACAGTTGCTCGTCTTGGGCTCCGATTATTTCGATCTTCTTAGCATTCTCTATAATACGAATAAATGTACGTGATCGTACGTTCGAATCATCGTGCGAAAATTAAGTATGTACACTTACCGATTATGCTATCATGATTCACCACGAGTTCCTTTCGAATCCAATCTTTGTACCGGAGCACAATCTTATTTATTATTTGTATGGTGTTTTCATGTATCCTCGGTTTTAACAGAAGATTCGGTAAAGTCGAGATGAATTCCTTAAACGCGTTCTCCCTGTAATCGCATCGAAAATTATGTTATGTCGTATTCGTAACGGGAGAAGGGCTGAGATTAAATATGTATTGGCTATCAATCCCAAAAGTTTATGCACTTTAGAAACGCATTCTTTAAAAAGAAATCAGACGTCGGAAGAAAATTGCTAATAATAAACAACAAAAATTTTTTCAATTTTTCCGAAATTTTTTCAAGGGGTACCCCTTCCAAATTTTCGTTTTTTGCCAATAACTCCTAAACCGTTGGACGTACAGGAAAATTGCATACAACCTTTTTTGTAGAGGACGACGAGATCTACAATTCCCATGTAAAAATTTTTCGCTGTCGCCAATAGTTTACGAGTTATTGACGAAAAACGAAAAAACAGTTTTTTGCAAATAACTCGTAAACTATTGATGCTAGCGAAAAAATTTTATACAAAAATTGTAGATCTCGTCGTCTTCTACAAGAAAGTTCATATACAATTATCCCGTAGATTCAACGGTTTAGGAGTAATTAAGGAAAAATGAAATTTTTTGCCAAAAGTTCGCCGTTTCGATGCTGGGATGGTCGAATTTTGTCAACATCAATAAAATGCCAAATAATCATACGTAACTCGTTAAATATCGAAGTTAGAAGGAAAACAACTTTTATTTGAAGCATTTTTCACAATTTTGAAAAAAAGAAATTTTTCGTCAGCGTCAATACTTAATTGGATATTTCCTTCTATACTTTTTAGCACGTAGCTATTTATTATTACCATTATTCTTCCGACGTCTGATTTCTTTTTAATTATAGGAAATGCGTTTCTCTAAGGTACATAAACTTTTGGGATTGACTGTATAGCCAATACATCCTTAAGTACCTATGCAGTTCCTGCAGGGTATGATCCAACATCACGTCGCTGATCACAGAAAACAATTGTAATTGCATCTCTTTCTTCGATTGATTGCAGCATGCGTTCACAACCAACTGTAATGTTTCGCTCAAATCGAGACGATTTTTGTACCAAACTTTACTCGCTTTTAAGAACAACGTTCTTAAAAGTTTGGTCAACTGCGGCAGTACAATGTCATTTATACTCGACCAGTTCTCGAGCTTTTCTGTTAAAAAAGAGATTTGTTAAATAGTTTATCCGTTATTACAATATTAATGGCTACATATTATCAGTCGTACCATTTAAATAGTTAATTATAGATGAGCAGTAGTTTCTGTTCGGTTTAGACATAAATCTATCGTCGACTTTTACCGACGTGAACCATACATAAATTTGACTAAGTCCCAGATTGTATCCTAAACAGATATCGAACGATTCGCTTAAAGAAAAATCTTGTTGCCGTTTCCTATTGGTACTTTTGATCGTGGAGAGAAAATTCCCGGCTGCGGTTAACTTATTGTACGGAAATTTCGAAAATAAGTTCTTTACGTAAGGGCCTTCGAAATTGCTCTTAAACCAGTGCTTAATATTCACGTCGCAATCGACATACAACACGTCTATGCATTCGATTATCAATTGTAGAATTTCTACGATACTCTTCAATAATTCCAAGGCCTCCATAGAGAGTAACAGTGCGGAATCGTTGACACCTTTTTCATCTGGACACACCTCGATCCAGCTATCAAATATAAGTGGCATCAACGATTCCACGTATTTCATTAATCCGTCCGCATCTAAAGATTTTTCACTAGCGTTCTCCCTCAATTCAGTTTGTTCAAAATCGATCTCGCAATTCTGAGAACTGGCTACAGCGTAAATAGGTATATATCCGGTAGTTTCATTCACGTGTACGACTCTCCCACTTTCTTGTAAAGCAACGACTTGCTGAGATTTGAAGAAACCGACTATGGAGCTGAGCATAGTGGCTAATCTTTCCAGCACTTTTATTCTCCATTTAACATCCGTATTCTTCGTGTTCAACGTCGTTACCAATTGTCTGCCAGGTTTCGTTTCACTATGCAACTTGGAAATCATGTCCAAAAAGTTTGGTATAACTTTGTAGCTGTTTCTTACTAGAACGTGGCTGCAATTTTTAACAAGGACATCCAAGAACAGCAAAGCGTCCTCCTTAATGTAAGGATCTATGTGAGTCATGGCGCATCTCAGATACGAAATCAAAACATCACAATACGGATTAAGCTGATCGTTGGAGACAGGTCCGAGAATCAGGCCCAAAATCTTGAGAGAATCGCGCCTTATGGCTCTTTCCTTATCCAGGATCAACGCGCAAATCCCTTGTAACAGAGACCCAAATTGCGAGCTCAACAAACTCGTAGAATGCTCGGACAAAATTTCTTTCAGTTCTCTAACAGCGCTTTGTCGAACCGTTGTGTTATGATGTTGCAAACGCGAGAGTAAATCTTTGATGTTAAGCTTCCTTTTGCTAAGAATCTCGGTGTCATCGTGCTGTTTCAATTGCTCACGTATGATGATCTTCTTAACTTTGAACGAAGTGTCCGTGACATTCAACCCTTTCGGTAAATGTTTCTCTTTCTTCGTTTTCAACTTCACTTTCGCTTTCTCTGACTTCAACCGCTTTAAATGTTTATGTCCCTTGCCCATTATCAATTATTGTTAGACGATCCTAGCAATCGTTTACGCCGCGTTATCTTTTTTCACAAATTCTATCATCCAGAACCGAATGCACGTGATCTGTTACTCAATAAAACGTCGCTTTAAAACGTTTTCTGTGAATGTTACTTTTCAAGATCAAGAAATCGTCGGAGACAGGTTACGTGCAGTCCATGCCACGAGGTTGCACGAGGTATAGGTATAGATCATAGTTAGGTATACATAAACTATAGTGCAGGCATGTTCAACCATGTGTAAGTACAGTGTACAGTGGTCGAACTCATTTTTCCCTACCCTACTCTAGTAGCTCTCCCCACATCGCGCAATAGTCACAGTAACTCGGTGGACCATAATGCGTTTACACTACTTAACGCATCCCCACCTAGGCTCCCGCTGAAGGTTGTGTCGCGTGCGCGACATCGTTGGTTGTGCATGGAGATCCATGTAGTTGCGGTTGGACTATGGGTTAAACATGTATACTACATATAACGTATATATAAATTATGTATATGTATGAACGTATAGTGCATATATAGAGTGTACATTGTGATATCAATCTGAAATGTCACGCCATAAAGTTAAAAGTGATACAAAGTGATAAAAAGCCAAAAGTACGTGCGTGTTCTTCAGGACAACATCGACCCAAAATATAAATTTAATCTATCTGAAGAATGACAGGTGTCTGCAAATAAGTTAAATTTTATGTACGAATATCTTGGCTCTAGGTTAAAATCATTCTAATGACATTCGTCTAATTCAAAATCGCTAATTAAATTTACGCGTGCACATTTCTCATGACGAAGCAAATTTTCTAAAACCCAAAAGAGGTAGGCAGCAGACATTGGACTTACAGTTTTTTATTATTTTACGTAGACACATTATATCAACTTCTGCCATTCTTCGCTGCCGGTATTTCTCATTGTCATATCGCAATCTGTGTTTTTTAGGTGATTAAGTAATCTGCAGATTCTCAAAATTGCCTCAAATCAGGAAATGATAAAATAAAGAAGGTGGCACAGTCGTGAGCAATTATTAGAGAAATAGAAAAGAAGATTATTTAACTTTGAATAGTTCAAGATGAATGGAACAATGACTTATTGTCCCCCGAATATAAGTCTCGCTGACATTTGGGTGGACCATGGCATGTCTAAATGCTTCATGGACACAGTTAGTACTGCTGTCATTTCCTTGTACCTGCTAATCTACGGAACCATACAATTGTGGATATATAGAAAGTATGGGACAGATACACCTGTTTTACTACCTAGAAGCAAATTGTACATTGTACAACAGTTCTTCCTCTATTTCGTCCCAGTACTGAGCATAGTAAGATTAATTCTAGATGGGACAATTCTTGGTGATGAAAGAATATATGGTTACATGGTAAGATGTTTGTACAACTGTTGATCCTACATTCAATGTTCGCGACTAAAATTTGAACCCATAATGAACATTTTAGATACTCACAACAGTGCTAACGGTAATTGTTTATCCTTATTCGGTATACATATTGAGAGTAGAGAGACACAAATTGCTTCCAAGTGTTCCACCACGTGGACATGGGCTCATTTTGTTGGGTTTCTGGACATTGGCGTTTATGGCGGACAATCTTGCATTCATCAATATCGGCAAACTCGAGTGGTGGTTTCATCTAAACACGTGAGTTGACCGCATCTTCCGTATTCTTTTGCCCACGCGGTCAACCAGGGATCTATATTTGCTTCGCGTACTTGGCGATGTTATTTGCAGAGTAACAGACCAGATTGAGATGGCACTGTTCGTTCTACGTTACGTAAGCAACCTGGTCATCTTCGCCCTGGGATTGAAAGCTCCAGGGATAACATATTACCCAGCTCCTGAATATCGCACGCTTCCCGATGGTCCGGCTCGACGGTCGAGATATTATCAAGGTGTAAGTCTACGGAACTTCCGCTTTAAGCCAATATAAGCTAATATGAAGCTTGCTGTGTGATTTTATAGAGGCCCGACGATAATAGCTCGACATGGAAGAACGCGTGGTACAAGATAAAGACTTTAGCACCGTTCTTATGGCCGAAAAGCTTCGTGCTACAACTGCGAGTCATCTTCTGTTTCGGATTACTTATAGGGGCTCGGTTGATCAATTTATACGTTCCGATTTACAATAAGAGAATCGTAGATAGCGTATCGGAAACACCTCTCGAATTCAGGTATGCGAAATATATTTCATTAACACGTTAGCATCCAAAATATAAATACTACTTTCGTAACAGATGGGATCTCGTGTTGATTTACGTTACGTTCAAATTTCTCCAAGGCGGCGGCTTTGGTGGGATGGGATTAATTAACAATCTCAGAACGTTCTTGTGGATCCGTATACAACAGTACACTACTCGAGAGATCGAGCTAGAATTATTTAAGTAGGTATTTTCTACTCTCTTTATATTGCCTATGCGATTTGTTATTCGAACATTTTCTTCTACAGACACTTGCATAGCTTAAGTTTGCGTTGGCATCTTGGAAGGAAAACCGGAGAAGTCTTAAGGGTGATGGATCGCGGTACAGATTCCATTAACAATCTTCTTAATTATATTCTCTTTTCGATCGTTCCAACGATCATCGACATATTAATAGCCGTCGTATTCTTCGTCAGTGCTTTTAACAAATGGTTCGGCTTAATTGTTTTCGTAACTATGAGCTTATACATAGGTAGGTATTCGAGACTTATTTCCTTTCCCTTTTTCAATCACAAATTAAGATTTGTTGATTCTGTTCGTTAGTTGCTACTATCTCGATTACCGAGTGGCGTACAAAGTTCCAGCGACGAATGAACTTGGCGGACAACGCTCAAAAGACGCAAAGCGTCGACAGTTTGCTGAACTTTGAAACGGTCAAATATTACGGAGCGGAAGCGTACGAAGTGAACAGCTACAAAAAAGCGATATTGAACTACCAAGTGGAGGAATGGAATGCGTCAATAACATTGAATATCTTGAATACGTTGCAAAATGTAATCGTGTCTGGTGGTTTGTTGGCTGGATCGTTATACTGCCTGCACATGGTTGTAACCAAGGATGGTTTGACAATCGGCGATTACGTTCTCTTTGCCAGTTATATCATTCAGCTTTACGGCCCCTTGAATTGGTTCGGAACTTACTACCGCGCGATACAAAAGAACTTCGTCGACATGGAGAATATGTTCGATCTTCTGAGAGAAGAACAAGAAGTGATCGACGCTCCGGGAGCTGGTCCTTTGGTAGTGAAACGAGGCCAAGTAGAATTCACTAACGTATCGTTCAGTTACACTCCAGGGAAAGTGATATTGAAGAATATCAATTTTGTCGCGGCAGCGGGAAAGACCGTGGCGTTAGTCGGGCCGTCCGGCGCTGGCAAGTCGACGATCATACGGTTGTTGTTCAGATTCTACGACGTGGAACAGGGCGCGATTCTGATCGATGAGCAGAACCTTAAGACCGTCACCCAAGACTCTTTGAGGCGAGCGATAGGCGTCGTACCTCAAGACACAGTATTGTTTAACAATACCATAAAATATAACATTCATTACGGTCGGATCGAAGCCCAAGACGCGGACGTGATAGACGCGGCCAAGAACGCAGATATCCACGAGAGGATTCTATCGTTTCCGAACGGTTACGAGACGCAAGTTGGCGAGAGGGGACTCCGTTTGAGCGGCGGTGAGAAGCAACGCGTTGCCATCGCTCGTACTATACTGAAAGATCCAGCGATCGTGCTCCTTGACGAAGCGACGAGCGCGTTGGACACGCAAACGGAACGCAATATCCAAGCTGCGTTGAGCAGAGTCTGCGCTAATCGTACGACCATCATCGTAGCTCACAGATTGTCCACTATAATACACGCAGACGAGATTCTTGTATTACGAGAGGGAGAAATTGTGGAGAGAGGAAAACACGAGGAACTGATATCTCGCGAAGGAGTATATCATTCTATGTGGCAGGCGCAATTGCAAAACAATCAAGAGACTAATCAACCATCGGACAGTATTGACGATGGGAACGAAGCGACGAAACCTTAATGTTACTAATATAAATTTGATTAACGAAAAGAGAACGTGTGTACCTGTGCTCGTGAAGAAAAGTTTGCCCGTGTAGATCTCACGATTACACGAGTAACGTGGAAACACCAGAACAGCTGTGGAAAAGAGTGTAACAGCTATTCGTTACGTACCTAAAATGTATACTTATTTATGTTTAGAGTATGACGGTATTATGTCGTTGCCAATAAAATATATTTTAGTGATGACTGTTCTTGCAACGAGGCTTTCATTTCGCAAAAGAACGAATAAAAGATAAATTATGTAAATGCATGATATAAATTTTATTTAGTTTCCAATTTTATGCTTATTCTTGAATAAAAATTTTTGGACTGTTCACGGAACGAAAGTTATTCTACTGACGAGGATTCATTTTATTATAAAATTTAACGGTACGTTAAGCATCTGCCGCTTCCTCTCTTCCGTCTGCACGAATGAGTTCCGCGTATGCTCCATCAGGTACCCAACCAGATTCATCGATGGGATCGGTGACAGATACTTCGTTCGCGCCCCAAAAATAATAACTTGTGAAAAATACCCATAGCAGAGCATACACCACCTAATAGAAGGAATTAGCGTGACGGGAGCCTAGTTTTAATAAGTGTTACAATACCGATCCTAGAACGACACAGTTGTTGTTACGAACGTAAAGAATTAAGCAGTACCCAGACCTAATGATTTCGTCGTTCCAGGATAAGAGTTCTGATCCTTCTAAAGGAGAACATTACTTTGAAAACAGTTTTCGTTTCTTCGCTAACCATATTGTCACACATTATCAAGGGACGTGGTAGCGTCCCGAGGGCAATTTATATAATCACCGGTACAATATCCTCATTTCGAAGTTGGCTACGAAATAATTTTCTAAATCTGCTCTGTCCGTTCTATACGATTCGGTACTGTCGCCAGTTTTGTAAAATTCGAAAAACTTTGTTTATGTGTAAATTTACCACAATATCGTGTACGAACTCGGACAATTTTAAAAAATAAACGCGTCCTTTTAAATTAAACAGCTGATGCACGATCGCGACCGTCAACAGTAAATCACGTATCCACGTGTAGGTGTGTAGCACTCCAACTCTAATCCTTATATATATACTCACACCGACTCAACCGCGTTGCTTCTTATGGTTGTTCCCTCCTTTCATGCTCCCACACACCGTACAGCGTACAGTTAGTTTTTACAAGATCTTTGTAGTTGAGTGTATGGAAGACACGCATACAACGTGAATGAAGGATGGCCGAGTAACATGGCGGTAAGTGAGTACGTCAGTACGTCAGTGATGCGTGTCAACAAGAGATAGTTACACTAGATCGTACTTAGCTATCTTTATTATGCCCGATTCAGAATGAACAGCCTCGGTTTGAGTTTAATTTTTAAAATGGGCTGCATATGCTCTAAGGAAACAATCACGGTAAATTCAAGAAATTACACTGTCCGTGAACATCTTGGAGAGGGGCAAGTTCTTAATAGATTATATTTTTTATCGGTTTCTTCTCTTTTTATTCCGTTTCGTTTGAAATTGAAGATTATTCTCATTATTACTCTCGGTCTCGATCGAGTTGAACTTTATCTTGACTTCAATCAATCGCATTTATTTCAAGTTTTCGACTAAATTAGCTCGTTACATATAATTATTAATCTTTTTCCCAACTCCTCTCTGATTTACTTCAATTTGCGCGTAATTTTAGGGGATTCAGCACTGTACTCTTAGTGGAAGAAGCGTCGACTCGTAAAAAGTACGCCGTTAAGAAAATAGTTTGTCACGGTTTGGAAGATCAGAGACTGGCGGCGAAGGAAATCGAGTATCACAATCTTGTAAAGCATCCGAACGTGATAGAATGCATCGATTCCGCTTACAAAGGAACAGCCGACCCTGTGGCCAATGCTACAAGCGAAGTATTAATCGTTTTACCATACTATCATGTAAGTGATCGTTGAATGTTACTTCAATTTCTATAAACCAAAGAAAGATAGTCAAGTTTCCGATCGATTTCTAGAGAGGTACTCTCGCGTACGAATTAGAGCGACGATCTAAAACGAAGGATTACATGGGCGAGCTGGATATTTTAAATATTTTCTTACAAATATGCGAAGGCGTAAAAGCGTTTCACGAAGCGCAACCAGAACCGCTCGCTCATAGAGATCTGAAGACTGCAAATATAGTTCTCGGCGATGGAAGTACACCCGTCATAATGGACTTAGGTAGGGTCTAATATTTGAAACATGAGAACGCCAAGAACGGTCGCTAAATAATGATTTTCGTAGGTTCCGTAGCTCCGGCTAGAGTTAAAGTATGCGGCTCGCAAGCGGCGCAAGTCCTGCAAGATTTAGCGGCAGAGCGTTGCTCGATGCCTTACAGAGCACCGGAATTGTTTAACGTCGAGAGCTACTGTATGGTAGACGAACGGACGGATATTTGGGTAATTTCATCAAGATTCTTCATTCGTACCGTCGAATTTGAGAAAATAAAATTACGTTCTTCCAGTCTTTAGGATGTATTCTTTACGCGATGTGTTATTTTAAATCGCCGTTCGACGCAGTATACGAAAGAGGAGACAGCGTCGCTTTAGCTGTAATGAGCGCGAATATCGCTTTCCCGGAAGATGCACCTTACAACGAGGTATCGCATATTCTGTACGAACGCGATCGTTCAGTTAACAGTAAGAAAATTTAACCTCCCAATCTACTTCACAGGATATGCAGAATCTGATTTTATCAATGTTGAAAGTTAATCCCATGGAACGTCCTTACATATACAGCGTCATAGAGAACGTGCAAGATCTAATTTCCAAGTTGGAAAACAAAGTGTAACGAACTGTAAAAAGCAATAATCTTTTTATTTATTCGACGATTGATGTACAGACAATTTTTACCATACCGTAAGATTTAAGTTTGTCGTCCTATGAGAAGAGAGAAACTGGACCCAATCGTATTGCATCGTTTCAGTATATCGTGTGGTTACGTTCTATTCGCGCGTAGACGTGAAATAAGGAAAAAAACGATTTCTAGAAAATGCATTTCTTACAGATACTATGCATTTTAATATATATGTAAATAGCAGCATTTTAAACGAACACTTTTATCGCACCGTGAAATGTAAAGGTTCTTTGTAATAGTATATTTTTATAAAATGCAACTCGGTACTTTTTTCCCGAATTATTACTCGACGTTACCACTGCGAGAAATTAATATTCCGCTTCAAGGAATGAAAATTCGTAGTTAACATTTTTCTAATTTCGCATTGAACAGACGTATAATGGCCTTCCCAGTGAATTAGATGAGAATTTAACAGTGACTGTGGTGCACAACACATTGGACCTCAAAATGATCATTCGCAGTGCAATAATAACGATCACCGTATGCGATGATTGAATGTGTATAAGAAAAATTATGTAAATATTATTCAATACATCTAAACAATGATTATTTGTAAGAGTAAAAGGATTCTAAGACGTCTCTACGACGTGTTTAAATTTTTATAAAATTTAAACATATTTCTCTATACGATTAATAGAATTGTTTTTATTTAAATTCCGTAGGACCTTTGGGGAGAATAAAATATTTCTATGTTCGATTGTTCGAACGAAAGTGAATTTGCAATTCAAAAGGAGGGGGGATAGAGATTGTACAAACGTGAAAATGCATCGATAAGTGTCGATAACGTTTGGCCGCACTCCGTACTTCACACCGGTAACGTCCAAGCTAAATAAGAATGTAAAGTAGTTTTTTCACGAGCTTATGCTTCAAGTGATACGTCGCCTTCACCGTACAGTTAAATAGCAAAGGTCTGTTGAAATATCCTGTTAGTGTTCGTTACTGCATCTTACAGTCGCGAGTTTCCGAACCGTAAGTCCCTATTTATTCCACGTACTCAACGAGTTTCTAACTACTCTTACGCTAATGATAAACTAACCTTAAACCGAGACCGATTCGTGAGAAAATTTGCTAATATTTCTGATTAGTTTAACATCAACGCGAAAACGGCTGATGATATAATCGTAAGTTAGTCGTTTCTTTAATAGATAATCTTTAAGTTGATTAATATTAAATTATCGATCGCATAATGTAAAGTATGCACATACATAGTCCTAATTCGCATGAATTGAGAATTGAAAATTTTAATTGAAATTGAAATCGTTCGCTTAACTATTGTAATAATTTAATGCACGGCTTAGTTTTTCTTTTGTTTGCGCGAACGAAAGAGTAGTTCACAATCTCGTGTTACTTAATTGCAATCAAGTGCTTCTAACTGATTACGCTTCACCTTATTTCTTCTCATTCCCACTTCCATCATTTTAATCGTTTTAAAGACAAGATCCGTGATAGCGTTAGTTTATCATTACGTGATTATGTTATCCTTTACGTAAAAAACACGGCTAGCTTATCTATCGTATACTGTATCGCATAATTTAAAGTAGATAACGGAAGTCGACCGTAAACGAATTAATGAATAATTCAATGTTAAATATTACGTGAATATATGTATATATAGTTTGATCGTACGTATTCGATCGACAGATAGCACAAGGTACAACATCGCATTACTGAATTATTTTCCTCTGTTTACGTAAATCGTAGAAAATGGTTGACCGTAGTGTATCTATTCTCATTTACGTTTTGCATTTTCGCATTCAATTCTTGAGTTTATGTGTAACAATGATATCTATTTCAAATACTTCGAAAAAACGGTTATTCAGACACTCGAGTGACATGTTTTATAAAGGTCAAGGTTGCACTTCAATGTAGGAGATATTCATAAATGGAAAGATAACCGGAGGACCCTCCATTGAAATATCGTTAGCTGAATTCAAGATATTTTTCGTTATTTAGTTGAGGATGAATTCGCGAACCGGTAACTGGACAATGCGTACAATAATAATTAGATAGTTACAACTTTCACGTCTTTCGTTATAAAAACATTCGATACTTTGTACATAATTGGAGTCACAAGAATAATTGACAGTCGTGACTATCGCGAAATGTAAAACAAGCGTCAAGACGCGACTGTAAAAAAAGGGGAAAAGAGATTCGTCATCGGGACAAATAGCGTAAAATGTCAAACTCGTATTATGTTCGTTCTTTACAATTCGAACGATTTTGAACTTTCTTTTTTTCTTAGTACACTCTTATTCCTGAGTCTAACTCGGATTTTTCTAATACTTATTGATACATCTCTTAACCGCGTGAAAATCTCTTCGTACATGGTACTAGATTTCTCAAGTCATCAGTTCGAGTCGTGGCTAAATTGCATAATGATCAAAAGAGTTTAAAAACCTTTGCTATCTTGTCCACGTGGTAAGCGGTGATCGCGTTACAAGTCACGTGACGAATACTTAATTCTCGTACGATACTTGAAGCTTGGACATTCTGCCTGATCGCCGATACTTATTTCTTTTCCTCACTTCAACTGATATTATAGGCATTCCATTAAATTATTGAGCTGCGTGTCGTCAATTTTTGTGAAAGCAATAACGCTTTGGGGCATAATTTTTATGGAAAGAAAAAGTACGATTTACGGTTCTCGTTAGATAAGGTCGGGACAATAGTCGGAGCAAAAATATCGAATATCATTGAACCTAGATAATAGCTTTTTCCTGTCTAGATTACGGTAATGTAAAACCGTGCTAATTTTGCAGGCATTTCTTAGAATTCTTTCGTAGGCCACACGCATTGAATTAAGCGAAACGTAAAAAAGTTATTTCGCAACGCACATGTCGAATTTAGACAATCTAGCTGCGGTCTAGCAATTTTTAGCGCAAACGAGAAGATCGTGCGCATCTCTTTAATTGCCGTGAAATGAACAAATTGAACAAGTTCTCTTCATTAGTCGAGGGAGAACGATTATATAATTTTTGAAGGACACTTTTTTCGTTGTAATCGTAAAATTGAGAAGGGTTACGGCGTATGACGCTGTACAGAAAAAACTAAGAAAATAGGCTAACACGAGCGAGCGACTCGTGAGGAAAAAAACAGCGGAATCGTACGATATCTTGAGATATCGTGAACTTTTGCCGTTACTTATGCGTACAGTGTCGTGTTCAGCGATCAGTTAGCCGCCGGCAGTGTTTCGAGCTGGACGTGTTCATGCACTCCATCCTCTGTGTAAAAAGATCCTCGCAGGTTAACGTTTCGTTTCACGTGCAATAATTCGTCAACGGAATATCGACTCTTTTTTTTGAACGTAAAGTGAGTGAATTTCGTAATTTTCTCATTTCACGTGTACACGTATTGACGTCCGGTGAATCGCCAAGATTTGCTACACGAAATCCCTGTATATTTTTCTACTTCGCATATCACGAAACATCGACGATACGTTTTATCTATTGAAATAGGAAAGAGAGTGTTTTACATATTGCGGACAAGAAGGGTTGAACAAAATCGATAGGAAACACCGAGCCATTGTAAAGTAAATACTAGGTAGATTCTTATTGAACGAGAGCATCTGGGTATTTATATAATTTCCGTGTGCGCATACACTTGCACGTGAAGTAGCTGATGCAAAAAATAAAAAAATATGAAATATAATGACGCGACCAACACGTAGCCGTAACCGTCGAGGTGAAAGTTCTGTGTCTTTAAATTTTCTTCACGCTTCCCTTCCGTGTCAGATTTTTTCGATCCATTTGTCAGATCCGCGTTTAAATTAGATTCTGGATAACGGAATAAGAATTATTATCGGTATTATTGCTGGAGGATTATTCATTCCCGTAGTACGCGTGGCTATTTGAAATGCAAATTCGAATGTCAGAGTTCTCAGGCTGACATAACTATTTGATTTGCTTACATTGCAGGTAAATTTCCTGGGTTGCGAGTGTATTATATGTATATACGACACTACGCGAAGCGAAACGTGTTCTCGTTAGACGGTGAACGTTCACGTACAAAACGGGAATTAAAATTCGTACAACCTCTAAACTCCAAAGTACAAAACAGATCGTTTCGTTTTTCTATCTACACGTATTTACTACTATAGATGTCTAGTATTAAATTTAGACGTATCGCAACAGGAAAGATTTATTCGCTTTTATGCATGCGACCGAGTGCGCGAGTACGTAAGTGTACGTTGCAAATGAGTGCGCTTCGATGATTGTATAACTATGTTCCTGGTTTAAAAAAGTCTATATGTTGTTCAAATGACGTGCGGTGACGCGGTAGTTAAAACTAGGTAATTCAAAATAAGGGGCAAGTCAGACGTTTCATTTATCTTAACAGTACTGAATCGCACATCGATTACACTCGCGTACAATTTTCTCCACCGGTTTTCATGTTCAAAAAGAACGATCTTAAACTTAGCAACCACAGTAGTAGGCTGGTACTATTAAATATTGTTCGAGCAAGTTTTTTTCGACGCGACGCGACGCGTAGCAGTGGAATGCGGTCGACCAACTTTTACCTGAAAGTCTCTCGGAACCGTATGATTTAAATTCGAGAAGCGTTCGAAATACGCTTTTTCCTTTTCTCTTTTAATATCGTACGAACTTGTCTTTTCAGAATCGTTAAAAAATGTCGGCAAAAGCGATTCGCGAGGCAACAGGGAAGGATCTGATCAACCGCAAGCTACCTTCTGGCACGGCAGCGGTCAAATGTCGATTCGCGACCATCACGGAAAATACAAATTGGACGGACGTCGCGAACGATCACCCGTGGGTGAAAACCGAGAAATTGGTGGTGAAGCCGGATCAGTTGATCAAACGACGTGGGAAACTCGGTCTGATTAAAGTGAACGCGGATCTGCCTACAGTTCAACAATGGGTTGGAGAAAGAATGAACAAGGATCAACAAGTGGGGAAAGCTACCGGAAAGCTGAGAACATTCATCATCGAACCCTTTGTTCCTCACAAGCAGGTAAACAACGATCATACATTCATTTCTAGGAAACAAGACCATCGTGTCAAACACCGTTTCGATTCGTAGGAAGAGGAAGCCTACGTTTGCATTTATTCGCATCGCAAAGCTGATACCATTCTGTTCCACCACGAGGGTGGCGTCGATATCGGGGACGTCGACGCGAAAGCCTTGAAACTGGACGTGCTCGTTGGAGAAGAAGCTCCCGATCAAGCCACGATCACAGAGAAATTATTAGTGCACGTAGCGTCTAATAGGAAAGAGTAAGCGAAACTGCGAGCTATTCTTTAGTTGTTGTACCTTAGAGCTGAATCAACTCGATACTACACAATTCATTTCATGCAAGTTTTATGCATGATTAAGATTAGAAAATTACATCTCGTAGGTCGATCGTTCGGTTCTGAGGTACAGATTTCGTAGTACTCTCTGTTCTGATCACGGCGTTCATTTTTTTCAGAGCGATTGCCAAATTCATAGAATCTCTGTACAAGCTCTACGTTAATTTATACTTCACTTACCTAGAGATAAACCCATTGGTGGTAACGGATAATGGAATTTACATACTCGATCTCGCCGCGAAGTTGGACACAACCGCGGACTTCATATGTAGACCGGATTGGGGAGAGATTGATTACCCGCCGCCGTTCGGAAGGGATGCTTATCCGGAGGAGGCTTATATCGCAGACCTGGATGCTAAGTCTGGAGCCAGTTTGAAATTGACTATTCTAAATCCAGCCGGTCGAATATGGACGATGGTAGCAGGCGGTGGTCAGTAGCATCTTATCATCGCATCCGTCTCTAAGATTTTTTCTCAATTCCATCCCGGATTCGTCATACTTTTAGGTGCATCTGTAATTTACTCGGACACCATCTGCGATCTGGGCGCCGCGAACGAGCTAGCCAACTACGGCGAGTACTCGGGCGCGCCGAGCGAACAGCAGACGTACGAGTACGCGAAAACTATTTTGGGGCTGATGACGAAGGAAAAGCGGAAAGAGGGAAAGGTGCTGATCATCGGTGGCGGTATCGCCAACTTTACGAACGTTGCAGCTACGTTTAAAGGTATCGTGAAGGCGTTACAGGAATTCCAGCCGAAACTCGTCGAGCACAATGTACAAATATTCGTGAGGAGAGCGGGACCGAATTATCAAGAAGGCTTGAGGTATTTCATATTCCCGCGTGACGCGATGAAATGATTCGTAGGTGATCGAGCGCTATTTCCAATTCCAGAATCATCCGCGAAGTCGGTAGGAGATTGGGTATTCCCGTTTACGTGTTCGGCCCGGAGACTCACATGACGGCCATATGCGCGATGGCGTTGGGCAAAAAACCAATTCCGGACCCGGAAGCTCAGGAGTTCTCAACCGCTAACTTTCTTCTACCGTCGGGACAAGACGTAGGACCCTCTGCCCCGCAGAGAGCCACGACTTCATCCGCATTGGCTGCGAAAAGATCGAAACTGAAATCAAGCGATCTGGTGGATGGGTCGCCGCAAGAAAGCAAGGAATTGTTCGGGAATAAAACCAGAGCGATCATCTGGGGTATGCAAACTAGAGCTGTTCAGAGCATGCTGGACTTCGACTTCGTTTGTCGTAGATCCGAACCCTCCGTAGCTGCTCTTGTGTATCCTTTCACCGGTGATCACAAACAGAAATTCTATTGGGGACACAAGGAGGTAAGATTCGATGACGATTTTATTCTGAATTGACATTTTTTCGGATGTAAACGCATGGTTTTAATCGATAGGTACTCATTCCCGTGTACAAACAAATGAGGGATGCTATGACCAAGCACACGGACGCGGACGTCATGGTGACGTTCGCGTCGTTGAGATCCGCGTACGACAGCGCGGTCGAAACGATGCAGTTCCCGCAAATCCGAACAATCGCCATCATCGCCGAAGGTATACCCGAGAACATGACGAGGAAGTTAATTTTAATGGCGGAACAGAAGGGTGTAACGATCATCGGGCCGGCTACTGTCGGCGGTGTCAAGCCCGGCTGCTTTAAAATCGGTAACACTGGCGGTATGATGGACAACATTCTTCACAGTAAACTTTACAGACCCGGTAGCGTCGCATATGTCTCCCGGTCCGGAGGCATGTCCAACGAATTGAACAACATTATTTCGAAGGCCACCAACGGAGTGTTGGAAGGTGTGGCAATTGGCGGAGATCGTTATCCCGGAACGACTTTCATGGATCACATAATGCGTTACCAAGCGAATCCGGATGTGAAACTGATCGTGCTTCTCGGCGAGGTGGGCGGCGTGGAAGAGTACGAGGTTTGCCAGGCGTTAAAATCGAAAAAGATCAACAAACCGCTGGTCGCCTGGTGCATCGGTACATGCGCTAGCATGTTCAATTCCGAAGTTCAGTTCGGTCACGCCGGATCCATCGCTCACAGTAATCTGGAGACAGCTTCGTCAAAGAACGCCGCGTTGAAGCAAGCTGGCGCCTATGTTCCAGACAGCTTCGACAACTTAGGCGACCTGATGCAAATCGTTTACGAGAAGCTCGTCAAGGAAGGCAGTATAGTACCCGAACCTGAAGTACCACCACCTACCGTTCCCATGGACTACAATTGGGCCAGGGAACTCGGTTTGATACGAAAGCCTGCATCCTTCATGACGTCGATATGCGACGAACGCGGTCAAGAGTTGCTGTACGCGGGAATGCCCGTAACCGAGGTTCTCAAACAGAACGTGGGAATCGGCGGCGTGGTTTCCCTGTTATGGTTCCAGCGATGTCTGCCGCCCATTTACTGTAAGTTCCTCGAAATGTCCTTGATGCTGACTGCCGATCACGGACCTGCCGTCTCAGGAGCGCATAATACCATCGTCTGCGCCAGAGCCGGCAAGGATTTGGTCAGCTCTCTCGTTTCCGGTCTATTGACTATCGGTGATCGTTTCGGTGGTGCTTTGGACGGAGCGGCTCGAATGTTCTCCGAGGCATACGACAGCGGATTACACCCGCAAGAGTTCGTGAACAACACGCGGAAAAAGGGTAAACTGATCATGGGTATCGGTCATCGTATCAAGTCCATAAACAACCCAGACATGCGAGTGAAACTGATCAAGGAATACGTGATGGAGAACTTCCCCGCGAGACCGTTGGTGGAATACGCATTGGAAGTGGAGAAGATAACGACGAGCAAGAAACCTAATTTGATCTTGAACGTGGACGGTATAATCGCTTGCGCGTTCGTCGACATGCTGAGGAACAGCGGTACTTTCACGAGGGAGGAGGCACAGGAATATATCGAAATAGGTGCTATAAATAGTTTATTCATTCTCGGGAGGAGTATAGGTTTCATTGGTGAGTAATCAACGTTTCGTTATTATTTCATTTTTTAATTGAGTTATGCTCGAGAACATGTTTCTCGTTTTCTGTTGAACACAGGTCATTACATGGATCAAAGGAGGCTGAAGCAAGGTCTGTACCGGCATCCTTGGGACGATATCTCATACGTGTTGCCGGAGCAGTACAATTAAGGTTCATTCATTTTCCATTTATCCATCGTTTGTCGTGAACGCATAATAAAAAGTTCGATACGACTTCATTCGGTAAAAGTTTTAAGTAGTTCCGATGTCATGTCATACGCGTGTTTTGATCATAATCGTGACTAATAGAATCGATTCGGCACAGTACTCGAGGATGATCGATGGATGAGGTAAAGCCGGGTGGGAGCTGTCGCGCGATCAAATTACGTTTGTTTATTATAATCCTATTGCCTTGTCGCTGCACCTTAGCTTGATAAAACGAGCGGAGAATGGTGCACCGAAGGCGTTATGTAAAAAATTCATTTTCGTACATTCCATTTCAAGCATTTTCTCAGTCTGGTAAGAAGAATTTAGGTATGAATCGCGGTGTGCATTCATTTTCGTAGCAATAATTGATTCAAGGTGATAAGGCACAAAATACGTTCTTTCCACGGTTTCTTGTGAAAATATCGCTTCGCGTAATTAGAAAACCTCGTTACGCGTTGTATATCATGTGTACGTGTGTACACATAAAAGCGTGCATCGTGCACATGTTGTTCCACCCTTGTACAATACGTGTGTACACGCGTTGCACAAGTTAGCTCCTCCTTTATGCATATGTAGGAATTAATAAACGTATGTAATATTTATGTACCATCCTTCCCCTTTAATTAACCAAAGATGCTTGAGAAGACTTTATTAACTGTAAATAATATGCGTATTAAAAATTATTTTTCTATACGATTGACGTAAGAAAGAATCTTCCGATCTTTTTAAAATTACAATGCAAGAACGTATCGTGAAAGAATAAGTACTTTAATGATTCCTTACATTAATATGTACTTTAACACAGTAATGGTAGTAAACTGATACATTTAAATATATAATTATGAGATATTCTGAGTCGTGAAATCGTTATCTTCTTTCGTGTGTCGAGAGCTAAAATGAACATAAAGTTATAATCCATTCTTGTTTACAAAATTAAAATAAAAACTCGTCGTGTTTTGGTCTACAATTAACAATTGGAAGGTACTTTCACATTAATTGGAATTCAAGATCCAAGTATCTCTTTATCAGCAAACGTTGAAGATACATACATTTATATTAAAAGCCTATGCAAAACGACATCGAAAAATACACGTCCTTACATATGATGCGTCGAATTTGAAAGCTGAACAAATTAGTACGAACGCGGAAATCGAGTTTTTTGAACGAAACATATCGAAAATGGTCTTACACAATTATCAAGATCACAGGCTTTACCGTTCTTCGAAGAAAATTGGCGTGTAACAGATCTCACGAAAATACGAGCATTCTTCTTGTTATACGGAATTAGCGATCATACGCTTCGACGAGGAAGAATATGTATCAATTTTATTCGGTTTCTGGAATGTCGTCCGCTGCCGTATTAATAATATTTTCACGATCATTTGGTGGCGGTCTGTGTCGGCCTAGACGGTATCTACATTTTCGTACAAGTTGAGGTATAATAATATTGTTATAGATACAGGTACCACTGAACAGAATCGTGAAACCGATTAGCTGAGGATTAAAAAAACAAAAAATTGAAACATATTATGTATAGAGAGAAAGGATAGTTCGTGAAACATCGTTCAACTTACCTGTACATACTGGAACTTTTGTTCCTGCACTATTAAAGAAAAGACCCATATAACGATCGTTCGGACACTGTCTAATATCATTCTGGTGGTAGCACTCATCTCTTTGGTGACGCTTATACCAGCGAAATTGAAGAAGGCTATGCTAAACGATATACCTGCGTGCAAGAGTGAACATCAGACATGAATCTTTTCCATATACAGTGACAAAAAATATATTGGCGTCTACTAACCGACTATCGCCATCAACAAATGACCGCTATTCCCGATCTGAACCAACGCGTCCGCGGTAGCCTCCATAGTTCCCCGTGAATTGTCGGCAAACGGGGGTGTTGCGTGTATAAAGTTAAGGGGAACCATTAACACGCATATGAAAATAAATCCGAATACACCTGAAGAAATATACGAGATATTTTCTATTTATGCTTGAAACGCGGAATATATACAAAACGTACCTTCCCAACCGACTGCTTGAAGCGCTGGTATGTTCTGTCCCGCAACAAATTTCTCCTCTACCACCATTTGAACCGCAGTTATTACCTACGACGATAAAATCAATAAATCTGTTCATCGAATGAAACCCCGGATCGAAGAATCATTACCTGCGCGCATATGATCAGAAGATCTCCGGTTAAAATCGAGTTTCTGCTAATGTCCTTGTCTTCCGTGATAGCGTCGCTCACCCCGACGAGAGCTAAACCAAGTATCACCATTACTATACCGCTCCATTCTCTACGACCTAGTTTTTTATTCAGGAAACCCATCGAGAGTATAGCCGTAAATATAACAGAAGCACCACGGAGCATTTGAAAACTACTCGCGTATGTCATATTCAGACCAACGTACATGACAGAGGTAGCACATGTATCGCACAAGGCAGGAATCAATAGAAGGAAAGGATTGAATACATGCGATCCTTTGGTCAAAGGATGGGTATCCACAGAGCCATCCTGTAATTGAATCAAAGATAAAGATATCGCCGGACTCGCCTATCGTTTCGACGAATGAAACTTACGCCTTTTCGAGTGTAGTAATAATGAAGAATTTTGAATACTACGAGGCACATCATTTCACCGATGAACATGAAGGTAGATTGCATGAAGGGATGATTAAAATGTCTAGGCTGGCCATCTTCTCCTCGTACAATTTGTTCATCAGCGTATCTGCATTAACAAAAATGGAACGAGCATTGAGAACATCTCTCAATCCCATTATCTTTGTATCGCGTACATTCCATAGCACGTACTTTACGGATAAAGTATTAAACGATCCAGTGATGACCATGAGAAGAGCCAACAAACGTTGATACTGTGTCCATGCCATTTTTAAGTATTTATAAGAGCCTAAAACACAAATTTGCAGAACGGAAACGATCCTTCAATCTAAGAGCGCACGGAGCATTACGGCATTACTCATGTTACTGAAATATTTTATGTAAGAAACATCCAGGAAAATCGTGAAGGGCAGTAACTTTTATTACAAAGAAATACTGGAAGACATATTTACGGAAACACGGAGATAAATGACTCATAGTACGTAGCTGATTGTACGAAGATAAACTTTGTAAAATGTTAAAACGAACAAGCAACAATTTGTACTACCAGAGGACATCAATTTTGAGCTTCTGTACTCATAAGTGAAAGTTGACATAATTGTATGAAATTTAATTAAATACATCTACATACCTTACGATTAGTCGAGTCAAATTTTCATGTCAGCATCAAAGATACGAGTCTGCAGTTTCTTCTATTAAGATAAGTAATACAAAAAGCCTGAGTTCATCGCATATGGTAACGATAAACTCATAATAATGAATTCATGTCATTCGTTTAAAATCCAATCTCTGTCGCTACGTCAGACTCCTTTAGTAAAAGAACAGTCTGGATCAGTCTGGATCCAGTATTGTGGTTATATTTAAATTATTCGAATATGAAGATGATGATATCTGTACGTGTATCCAAACGCTATCAATTCCGATAATATCGATGATTCTCAATTATACAAGGAAGCACGATAGCCACTTGATGCATTTCGTATACAATTTACTATGGTACTTTAAATCACGTAATTACTACGTGTTAAATATGAGGAGAATGCGTATATATACGCATACGATACCCGAAACAATTCCCGATTCTGTGTATACGTAAAATAGAATTCATTCAAATTCGATGTATCGCTCGCAGATGTATAACGAAATATTTTCTAGAATCCAAGAGTTGATGCATCAAAGATTCGATTGTCTAAGCAGCGTTTTGCGACGAGCCTAATTGTCGTAATTTACATCTTAATAAGTAACAAATAACAAGTAACAAGTACTTTGTTGAGAACGCTGCTTTACGTATACGATCCGGTGCTTATCAGCAGTAAATCGTTTGAAGAATGAAATTTTTATTTACACACACGGTTTTTGAGATATAAAACGTGGTAAATATGTGAACATTAGAAATAGTACACGTGATGGGTGGTTAAATCGTTAACGCGTTCTAAATCAATGTATATACATACATAAGGAGCATGAAAGAGAAATAAAAGAAAAAAGATAAGAAAAGTCAGCACTGTGTGTCGCAGAAAATATAAAAATTTCTAACACTGAAGCATAATGGCATCGTTAAAGAATAATAAAAGGTTATCCGAAGTTTTGGAACTATTTCTATTACCTAATTATAACATCGTGTCTACTACCTCCCTTGATCTTCTATTATCTCATATTTCCGAAAACATTAAAGAATGTAAGGAATTTTCAATCTTCATCATATTATAACGCATAGTTGAATTACGATTACGTCTTTTATATCAATTATCTGATAAAATTGGTTTAATTTCAATCGTACACTGCGTTAAGCTTTACATTTATCCAAGCAAAACATTAGATCATCTCAGTAATTTGATTTCAGGTAATGCTGACGATTACGAAAAATGCGAAATATTTCAAAAATGGGTAATTAAGGCTACAGATGTTTGGAGTCATGAGCACGTTCCCGTGCAGCCTATCGTCATATTCACTTTAAAGCTTGTGGGTCTAGCATCGCGTAACGAGCTGCTGTTCCATTACTGGCAGTATCAAGATGTTTATAACAAACTGTGTAACATCTTCAATTTACATAAAGACGATTTACCCATATCTGTTAAGATGGCTTATACTACAATGTTATCCAGCTTGATCAAGCACAGGAGCGGCAGACAATGGATTATAGATTCTGGTAAGAAACGCATGTGTATGCATTATATTTGTCCTCTTACACGTGAAATATAATAAAATCCAACGAGCGAACTGTGTGCGTTTCGTAGGAGTTTGGACCGATATCGTTAAATACGCTCATGGGAATTACACTCTTTATGTCACGCACGAAAGTCACAAGTTCTTGTGTCATTTACTTTTGCAAGAACAACAGAACACCGATTTCTGTAAAGAAGTCATTCTAACAATGGCTACGCCGATGATAAACAATACCCTGGAGTCTCCACCGTATCGAGTATCGGAAGACAGTTATTTGGATCAGAATAAGGTACTCTGCGCTACGTTAGATTTGCTCACTAGCATCATCGAGAATACGATATTCGAAAACTCGGAGAACACGATATCCGAATTGTGTCTGGAAATACTCAGCTTGGACACGAGATCGAAAGCTCTCTTCGAGGCTTGCATCAGTACGAAACTTTTGCCACACATTCGGAAGCTGGTGATTCTTTGTATGTTCGTTCCCCTTAAACGGACCGTCAGAGAGAAAAAGGAGATGGTCGACGCCGATGTGTCGCAAAAATTCTGCTGGGATCTGAGTTTCATAACTCTGATGCTGCTTTCAAAAACGTACGTGATAGAGGTGGTGGAAATCAACAAAATATTAATGGTGTACTGGAAAAAGTTGCAATCTCTGCACGAATTCAAATTGGGCGAAGAACACAAATTTGAACTCCAAGTCATAACTATAATGGTGAGCACTTATTGTTTTCTACTTCACGAGTACGAAACAGGCTCATGTTCGATCGTTATTCTTCTTATTCCTGTGCACAGATTGTGCCTTTGGCTGTGTGCATTAAACACACGTACAGAGAACACGATATCTTCGACATGTTCATTACTAAAATGTTCGACGTAACGTGCACGACTGTCCAAAGATTGGCATACAACGTTCGAGACGCTATAGTTAAGAACGATTTATGCGTATCACACATCGCCAAAGTGTCTATCGATAAACTTCTGGAGATGACAAATATCATGGACAGAGTACGTGCACAAGTTTTTAAATACATACGTTATAGTTACACTTAATAAATTTCGTATACTTTGAATTCGCATTAGGAGATTGCGGTTATTACATTCCAAGTGCTGTGCCATGTGCTGAAAAATTGCGTGCCCGATGGCAACGCAGCCAAACAGTGTTTAAACGATACATTAAACTCGGACAATGGACCGAGGAGGGTAATGTATAAGGATCCGCTGGAAGGCGACCCGATAGTCGATCATCCAATGTTACTCTCGTCGCTTTTAAACGGTTTGGCGGTTATGACGGAGAAATTCAAGCTGAAATGGCAAGAATGCGTAGAGACGATATGCCTCTTGTCATTGGCCCAAGAGATTTTAAATCATCCAGGAACAGAGCCTATGGTATGAACTTCATCTCGAAATACACCTTCCGTTCAACTAACGAATTTTTTCATCTAGATATGCGTGAAGGCGTTGCAAGTATGCAAATTAGCGATACAGAATTTCATGCCACCTAATCTGGTGCTGTTGGTCGAAACCGATAACCACATGAACGAGATCGGGCCAACGTTCTACAGAAGATTGCACGATATAACCTGGAAAGTTCGGGACAGCGTATTGGAAGTTTTAAACACTATCGCGACCATTTCGGAAAATAGTGAGTAATTACTCTCAAAGAGAGAAATCAATGTAATAGTAATAACGATGCGTATACGTGAAAATGTTTGTGCAGAATATCCAGCGTTCCAAGAATTCCTGTTGGCCAACGATTTTTTGTCACTGGCGATCGAAATTGCCAAGACAGACAGCGAACGTTATGTTCGTGCATCCGCTTTGATTTTCATCTCAAGCACCGTTCGAATAAATAAATTGTGGGACAAGAAGTTGTCACAGTTCAATCTACCTGTACGTTCATCAAATAATTATCGATGAAAGTAACTCTAGGCAGAAATATATTTCGTTCTTTTATCAATGCAGGAAGTAGCGATAAATCTATTCAACGGCGAGAGTGAAGCTATAGTCAGGAAGGAAGCTGTAATCCTGATAAAGGAATTATACGTACATCGCAAGTGGCCGTAAGTAAAACTTATAGTAAAAATTGAAGTAAGATCACCGACGAGATACGAAGTCGACGTTTTCAGAAAGAACGTTATCGAAACGATATCACGGACAATGGCTACGGCCGCTGTGTTGGATCTTGACTGGGAAGTAAAACAAAACGCACTGGAATACTGGAAGCATTTCATAGAATCACACTTGGCTGATCAAGGAGTACTCGACGACCACTTCCCGAAAGTGACGTTCTCGAAGGAGCATAGAAAAATAGTGTCTTTAAACGAAACCGAAATAAAACGTAGACTCAATAAAGCGCTGGACGAGCTGGCCAAGCAGAACTGTTTGGGAGTAAGTTGATTCCTGCGCGCTCACCCAAATCATTTTTTTCTCGTACGTTACGTAATAACACGCCATGTTCCATCAGGTTCTGTTGGTTACTCTGAAAGACGACAGCGATTTCGCGGTGTGCAAAATGTCTGCGCGTTTGATCAACAAGTTAAAAACGTTCCTACTGAAGTATAAACTGAACGAACCGCTGCCAGTGTCACCTCTGCCTAAAGACAGTGCCACGTTTGACACCTCTTACGTCAAATACGAGCCTACGTTAAGTAATAACGTTGAGAGCTGCAGTTATACTAACGAGAAAACTACCAACGACTCTAGCAACGTGATTGAGGAGATAGTGGACGCTAACGATGCGAACCTGCTAGCATCTATTTATAAAAACTCGATGACAATGGACAGTGAACCGGAAAAGTCGGAGCAGAAGACGTTTCGATACATCTCCTGCGTAACCAGGGAGTCGTTTTTACAAACGATCTTCAATTCAGACATTTACGCTTACATCGAGGAGAAAAACCGATGGTTGACCAGCTACACCACCAGTTTTGAATCGGTCGTGGAGGATATACTTACGATGTATACAAAAAACGATGTGAACACGATGGACTGCTACTAATTAAGAATAATGTACCTTATTAAATGCGTGTAAACCAGATGAATTTTAATCCGGCCAGAATAAACAGTCGGTAAGCAATCTACTTACCGCATACTCGTATTTCGAATCCCATTATATTATGTACCGATACACGTATCGCGTAGAATCAAGTTACTAATAATTAGTTGTGAAAATAATTGTATTTGCCGTGCATAAAAAGAGGTACATAATATATATAGATCGATACAATACATAAAATGTAATTCCTTACAGGTGATAGATCGTGCATTCTTCTTCGTGCAGGTAATTATAAAACAATTTAATGAATACGTATGTTTAAAATTGAAAAAAATAACAGATAATATTGTTATGTACGCTCGTTTATGTATAATATCTATTTTTGTTAAAACGAGAAAATAAAAATCTTTTTTATGTCTAATTGAGCACATTACGAATATAATTTAAGTCTTAGGAATAAGGAATAGGCGTAAGTGAAAGTAAAAATAACTGTTTCCACGAGGGTAAAAAAAGAGAGATTAGTTTGTACTGTATTCAGTCTTTGTATATATATATATTTCTTTTCGTTTTGCAAAATGAAAGCATAAAATAATATATAAATTTGTTCAAAGAAAAGTTTCGATATTCGGTAGCATCAATTCGTAATAACTGTTCTTTCCTTCGGTATACGTGTCGCGTTCGTCGGCGTGCACGGTGATTATAGTGTTCCATGAAAAAATATTACACATCGGTTCATTATTTAAAATATTTTTATCTCTGTCGGTTTTACTCTCGTCATTCCTAACGTCCTCGACTATCTTTTTCGTTTGCGTCGGTAGAATACTATTATCAGCAGCGTTCGTTTCGGCCAGTACAGTCGTATTCTCAACGCTTCTAATCGTATCTTCCTTTTTCGTTCTCTTCGGCATAACATTGGCATCAACATTAGTGGAATTTTCATTATTTTCCAAGGACGAAGTTTCTTCTTGATACTTCGGCTCAATCTTGAACATCGGCTCGATCTTGATCATCGGCTCGATCTTGATCATCGGCTGTTCAGCGACTGCGGGCTTTACGCCTATAACATTTTCTATGTACTCCATAAGATTCTTCTCGTTCTCATTCTCATTTCTGTTTTCCGTTTCTATCTTCACTTTCTTCTTCCTTCCTCTACGTTTTCTTTTGCCCAAATCATAGCAAAGGCTCTCGACGCTATCGAGAAATTCATCGTCGTTTATCTCTTCTCTTTTGTTCAATTCACGCTCCCAGGGAATGAATGGGCTGCAGTCTATTGCACATTTTGTCTCATCATGTTCATTTTCTTTCGGCCAATTAATCACTTGTTTTTGTTTTTTACAATTACTGTTACTCGATACTCTAGGTCTGGGAATGAAACCGTTGTACAAGTTCTCGTTATTGTTTGTATCACCCGAATCCGATGGTCTCCTCACTGGTCTCATATCACGTTGAGGCGAGGATCCCGGGGGCTTCGGGAGGGTCTTGTCATTCCAAATTTTGAACCCGTGGAGATCGATGAGAGTCCGTGACAGCTCTTGCAGATTGTGGTCTTGCGTGTGATGATCGTGGAGATCCGAGATTGATTTGTTCGCGTGTTCACATATGATGCACTGGTAGAGCAGAGGCATCGTGGTAGTATATCTCGAACGAATATATCCTTAAAACGATCGCAAGTGCTGCACGGTATATACGCACATAGTACGTAAAAATGTTTAGAACGTAGTTCGAATTCGATTGCGGTAATATTGTTGATCGCCTATAATGTAAACGGATTGTTTAGGTAGTAGAAATACTCTCGAAATACAGCAATCGTTAGAATACAGGTGTATATGTACCTTCGAGAATTCGAACTCAGTTTGAGGTTATAGAAATATTCTTAAAGCGAGATCGAAAAGATTACAAATAATACTGTTCTTATCACGTGCGAATCTAATAATTAATCTATGAGAGTGTTCTTCGTAAATTACACGATAATTAAGAGAATTTATCGTACTTTACATAATGCGATCTATTGTTATATGTATGTACAGAAACTGGAAACGGTACGTAAAAGACCACGTGAGGATAGACTTTGTTTGATAGATGCTCAGGTATACATGCATCGTGAGATCATTTGTTTTTTTCGTTAACGTTAGATTTCTCGAATTTAATAACAATCGAAGAAAGACTACTTGTTACTCGAAAGGGTAAATCGGGAATATGAGAGAAAAACATTTGACATAACTATTCGTTTAGAGATCGTTAGGTAAATCTTCTAGTCGAACAACGACCGATCGATCACGTTGTAATTATAATGAAAGTATCACGCGTGACGTGTAGGCTTATAAATAAAAAAAGATACAAAACTTAAATAGCAAACGATTAAATTTAGATTTAGTGAACGGTCGCGTGGTTGCATCGGAATCGGAACGTGCATCAAGAATCTTGGATAGTTTGAGATAAATCGGTGACGATCCTGCTTTCTGATTGGCGATCGGATAGGGGCCAGTCAGTTGGTGGCTCGCGCCAGAAAGACTTTCGATTTTCTTGGCTAGGATTCGCGCGTAAGCTTTCAGTCACGCGCAATGCTTCGCACGAGGAAAGCGTCGGGAATCGCATCGCGATAATCGGGTACGTTTCCTAAGTTAAATTCGGTAGTCGCGCATCGCTACGAGGTGCCTACTCGGTAATAAAGTGCGAGGACGTTACTGATTGTGCATGAAACGTTTGTGTGTGACGAACGAGGATGTCATTCTATTTTCGCGACTGGCCAAAATTCGGCGACAGACTACGCGGTAAATCCGGTGACGAGCTTCTGGAGGAGATTAAACAGCAACTCAACGAGGAGAGCAAGTCCTTCTTCGAACCCACCAACAGATCGGGGCGGGATCCCTTCGAACGACATTCTACCTTTTCGAGGGTGCGTTCCTTCTTATTATCATCATTTATTTTCTCTAATGGCGGAATCAAATCATGTATACGCCATTCTTATTTACATTATTAGTCGTTTCGTTCTAATTGTTATTTCACGGCTGCGTGTTGAATATAAAATAGAGATTGTAGAAAGACGGTTCCTTTAAGTTTATCAAGAAGCCACTCGGCAACGCAGTTAACGCATTCAACGAACGAAGTACAACGTATTTAAACAGTGTTAAAAAACGTTGAAAATTTTTTATTTATAGACTGGCCCAATTTCTGCGTCGTTTCACCGGCATGTACATTTAGTTTTGCGTGCTTGACGGTTATTCTTGTCGCGATTCCGATATTTTCAGAGCGAAAAAACTGTCTTATTTGTCGGCTATCGGAATCCAGCGAAGTTCGCAGCAACGTATAAAAATACGAAGGAAAATATGCGAGTGCGCGCGGCTACGTAGATTCGTTCTCGCGTCGAGCGTACGTAAATAAAATTATACTGTAAATGTTGAAAAACTGGTATCGATGACCCGCTGTTCCTTGCCGATCAATGTTTTTCCATGATCCGTGATATTTCTAATTCCTTTCGTATCCTGAGCCTGAGTGGATACATATTCTTGATCTTCGTATCGCATCGGCTCGAACAGTGACCTTACCTTCGTGTAAACAAGTTCGGCAGAGCTCGCCTATTTCTGTATTCGAGATTGTCCTTATTCGATGTTTTGGAAGAATCATCGCGCTTACTAACACCGCACATACAGAATAAAGAAAACGATCGATCTTTCAATAGATTTTCGACCGATATCCGAGCATTAATTAGAAATAACTAAGCCAGCTTGAGGGTTACTTGTTAGAATTAAGGTACTAACGTCGCGAACGACTCAGCGTTATCTTTTTTAGATTGTAAATAAAGTTGCCCACTTGGCAGACAGTTGCATAGTACGCAATAATCAAGTAGCAGTATCATCCTAACCGGAAAAGTTGCTTACATCTAGCATAGAATTTAATACAGTAGCCTGCCGAATGTGCGTTCAAACGTCCGAGAGGCATTTACTGCCCGAAAATGACACGCGTTTCTGAAGGGGAGCCATTCTCGATTCTATTCACGTTTTTATGGACTATCGAAACATGAGTTCATCAATGCGTGAGAATGAAAGTGGCGATCGATCGATCGACACAAATATTCTCGTGCATCAGCAGATTATTCCATATCGAACGATTCTCGGTCTGGAATGGCGAAAGCGAATCAATGGGAGGGCTATTTTGAGAGGTCTCGGCCCTCGTCGTCGTCGTCGTCGTCGTCGTCGTCGTCGTCGAGAACGTTCCTACATCTTCGAACAGACCAATAATATTCAAAGGTACAATCGTTGTTTCATTTATGTTCTTTTCTTTACTTAACTGTACGTATCGTTTAATATTTTTTCAGAAGGAACGTAGGGCATGGTTGATCAATATCGAGATGATTAGGTAGACAGAAGTATTTAAAAACGTCACCATAAACATTAGATAACGCGTGTCTTATCTCGACAATCGATTTTGGTATGTTGCGACAATGCTGGTGTAACGTTACAATTGTGCGATCAAGTTTTTGCATACTTTCTAAGAAGCGCGAGTGCAATGCTATAAACGATGGCATAGGACTAAGAATAACTTCTGTCATGAATTCGCTTATCAATTATCATTGAATTTTCCGGATTGGGTTCAAGGCCCATCATCACTGGAATCACTTCGGGATCATCACTGGAATATTAAATGATCGTAATGTGCATAACAGAATGCACTTATATGATAATTTACACGGGAATTGTTTCCGCCGAACTTGTATATGTATATACGTAAAGGCATGTCAGTCGTCGGTGACGTCACGATACGTCGGATCGCTGGCGATTACTTCCTCGGGCTTCGTACGATCCTGGTACCCCTATCGATCACCGTAGATCATCGATCGTCATTATCGATGATCGTGCGAGCGATCGAGACCGGTGAGGAACAAGAAGCAAAATCGAGAACGGGAGAACGAAGTTTTGAAATGAGTGATCGACGAAATCGATGAATCTAACGACTAGAATTATTTATAGATCGTCTCGATGATCAGATCTTTTTGTTGAATTAAATTGGCAAGTAAGATTCGTTTCGCGCAGAACACATTAGTTTAATCTTACGATTAGACAGTTCTAACTTTGTAATTTTGTTTCAATGACGCGTGATTTGTAATACATGAATATTTTTGATCTGCCGTTAGATGGCGATGCTTTCCATAAAATGTGGCCTACCTAAACGTGTTTTAACCACGTTATAACTGTGTATAGAAAACATGAATTTCAGTCGTTGTCATAGTGGAAAAACGTCGGTTTCACGATTCGTTTCTCAGGAAGATTATTCAAAGCGTAACCTCTAAGAGTCTCGTGAAAGAAATGATTGTTAATCGTAGTTACCGCGTACCGTATACCATTAATTCGAAGCAAGTGCAATTCGAGATATCTCATGATCAGGATTGAAACAAGAAGGATACATAGGTACAGATCTACGTCTAATTTATTCTTCCTAACGTCTAAGTGCATACGCGTTATCGGTGATTGGGATTCTATAAAATTCGTGGATGCTAGTTCGTTGATGCATCGATCGTAATCGATTACATAATCTCATACAGCATACGTGAACGTAAATGAATCATCTTCGAATCGTTACGTATAGTACGCGCGAATCGGCATTTTTGACCAGGTGTGATTTGTGTTTCCTGCTTATTGTCGAGTGCGATGTAAACATTCAACGGTGTTGAACATTTTTTACCAACTCGGGAAACAACTCCGTGAAAAGGTAGGAATACATCGCATGCATAAAGAACCGTTAAATTAGTGAACGGCTGCAGCACGTGCTTGTTCTTGGCGCCAATTTTATCGTAAGTCGATCTGATAATTATTACAATATTTCTCGTCATCGGAAGGAAAATCCGGAACAAGAAATTTTGTGCATGATATTCGCGAGATTCTCAAAATCGGGTTCCGAAATTGTAACTTGTAACCTGGTGCACTTGGTCTTTGTCCAACCATCGACTTAATCTGAAGGTATCCATTCCTGATTAATTACATCTCAATAGCACCACCTGGCATAGATCTATACCGTATTATGCATGTATTATATTACGTTCGGTCGTCTTTGGAACACGATACTACTTAGAAGTTATCGTATTAAATTCATCTTTGTAGTTTTAAGATATCGTAATGTAGCAGGCGATTCGAGTAGAATCATAGAATTTAGATTTATATCCCGACCGATAATCGTCCTAAGAATAAAGTTAGGTCAGGATTAGCAAGGTCTTATCGCGTGGCCTGTACGAACGGTAATCTGGTTATTCGATGTGCATATATATATCTATTTCTCGTCGAATAGATTTTTGGTATCGAGCCAAATTCCATGACTGTACGACTAACATTCAATGACGAGCCCCTCCTTGTACACCCTCGTACACGAAAGGGAATCATCGATCAACAATCGTTCTAGAAACAGAAAAGGCCGCAGCTGCAAACGCGTGAAAGAGAGTTCGCGATTACTATAAAAGGGCATAGGTAATCAAGTCCGGAGTACAGCCTTGCTCGATAGGTTGATCGCAAAACAAAAAATTGAAGAGATTCTACGAAGCTCGATTAAGATTGACATGATTCATAATAAATCTTGTTAAAACGCTATTTCAACCCCGTTTCGATTTTTCGGTATCGCGTTCAAAATGGTTACGTAACTAAAAGACGCGTTTCTCATACGTGAAACCAATTGATATCATGGGATAGATTAAGTATCAATCGTTTCGAGCATTTTCCCCTGAAACGCGATCCTTTCCTTTCATTTCATTTCATTTTCGATAATTCGGATCTCGACGCTGTTTCAAATTGTTGTATGTTAATGATTAACATTGTAATGAGCTACGACGTATTATCGATCGTAACGTTACTGGTTGTCAGAAGATTTGAATTCGTTTTTCCTTGCACGAAGTTTCGAAGATCTCGAACGAAAGCGGCAACGAGAGAGGAACATTCTAGCAGCATCTAGTGCATTCCTTCGGTCGTTCCCGCATTGCTTCGGGTATATTCGGGTTGGCGGTCACCTGGTTCTCAGTCCTCTACACAGCCCACGCGACAAATATATTTAAGCGCACTGACAGTTTCGCTATCGACTGACTGGAAAGAAGTACGGTGAATCGCGTTTGCTATTTACGATTTCCTCTAAAAGAGAAGCACGTTCCCTTCCGGATTCGTGAGTGCACGACACGTGGTGCGAGTGACGAAATAAGGGAAGAAGACCGCGGGGATACTTGCTAGTCGAGAGGATACTGAAGGGGCGAGGAAACGCGTTGCTCTCTCGGTAATTTTCACCCAGAATCCTTAAACACCAGGGGACGAAAGTGTGTTGCAGATAAGACGTTACATTTTCGTTATGCCTTTTTTTTGTTAACACGTCGGCACTGTTGTTTAGTGAGCTTCTTGGCTGATACCTTGAAACATACCAAAAAAGTACCTAACCTGCAGAGCAAGCAAAGTATAACTGCGAAGAGGCACGAACTAAACCTAGTGTACGAAACGCCGGCCAATTAAAACGTTCCGAGTTTTTCGAGAGAAATAAAGGATTTAAAAGAGAAATAAGGAACACCACGTATTCGAAATCTGGAACGGATAAGAGAGGGTCCGCAAAATGGATTCGCCTGTCGTCGTGGACAAAGCATCCGAATTCGGAGACCCGATCGATTTGGACCGTCCGTTCCCCGTAAGTGGTGTAATTTTTCTCCCCATTCCCCATCCAAACAAAACGTGGGTTATATCTCGAAATCCTGATTTGAAATATGTCACGAACGAGGAACAGCGGCTCGACGGGAACGCGCAGTGCGTGCACCATCTATCTTCGCCGATCCAACTTTCAACCGGTAGTAAAGCGAGTAGGATCGATGTTAATTAATCGTTTCGGATCACGTTTACCGCGAATATACTTGACATATGACGACACTGACATATTAGCCAAAACGTTTCTAGACCGTTCGAGACTCGGACAAGCATATATTCAAGGTACACACGTCCTCGTGCGTTCTAGTTCTTTCCGAGTTATCATCGATTTTTCATTTTCAACACGTGTTTCAGTTTTAACCGGCGATCCTTCAGCAATATTGCATATAACAAACAGTTTTCGCCCATTCTGAGACACCGTTGTCGTGAATACTAACGTTTCCATCGTGCAACAAGGAAAAAGAGGTAGTGAAACGGGCTCTTCTTCCGATTCTTGCGCGTACAACTTTTAGTTTCGACCTTCTCAATCGCGAGGAAGTTAGAAATAGAATGTGACGCGTGTTTCTTTCGCCAATATTTTATCATCTCTCTCCGCTATGTATTTTACTATTGTACACCTTATAATTTGCCGTATCGCTTATAAGAAACTAATCTTAATAGAACAAACGTGGTCCCATTCTTCCAAAACACAAGCATGTCGGCGCTAATAATAAGCTACGTGAGACGATTCTCTTGGTAACATTTTCTCTCTCTCCCGCTCTCCTTCTCTGTCCGTCGAGGACACAGTAAAGAGATATATAAAAGTCGATAGATTTCGTGCGTGAATGAGAGAGAGAGAGAGAGAGAGAGAGAGAGAGAGAGAGAGAGAGAGAGAGACAGCAGAAAAAGAACGAGAAATGTCACGGATGCGTCGTTTCATTTCCTCTTGTTCCCGTATTAGGACCGCTTGAAGATCCTACGACCCTTAAACGGTCTTCGTTTGCATTCTATTCTAATTATGTAAATAATATTCCACAAAATCTAAAACAAAAGACCGGTTGACCAATTATACTAATCGATTTAAGAGTTTAGGCGCTGCAACTTTCGCTAGCCCGTAGATTTAGAATCTTTAGAGGAAGAGTCGATAATAGTATTTTTACCTGTGACCTAATCGGTTGCTCCTTTTCGCGCAAAAAAAGAAACCGGTTTCATTGGTAATACTCGCAACGAAACGACGTCTCGTCGTGACATACGTCGCGTGGGCGTTATCTATCTTCTATACGAAGAATGGTAGAAAAAGAAGATAGGAATCCTTGTTGTTTAACTTAAGTAACCGTGCGATCTGCTTCCGCTATACATCTTTACGTCAGATTCTTGGAAATGGACAGAGACAATGCGTACTGTTGATTCTGATAGATTACTTAAAAAGGAAATAAAAGTGGATCCTAACACAGTGCTCATCGACGAAAGCAGGAAATACCTGAGTAACCATAAAACGAGTGTCTACCGTGAGCTCGATTCAAAGGCCATGACACAGTTGCTCGTTTGTACTTATATGTATGCTATGTATTTATATAGGTATCGCGAGCCGGCGCCTGACATTCACCCAGTTTGCATTTTTATGGGTGACCATGACTTTCCTTGCTTTCCTTCCCTTAATTTTTACACGCTTATGATATTAGTATTATTATAATTACGTTAATGCTTTCTGCGTATTGCAAATCGTGTTAGGTCGTTGTTATTCTAGTTTATATAGAGCAAAAATTTTTGTTCAGGATTTAATTACTACTAATTATGGTATTACGTGCAATTAGATCGCCTAACGTGATTTCTAAATGTTCCATAGCTTACCGTCTATAAAAGTAAAAATGTGAAATGGCTTTCTGACCGCTTCTGCTTTCTTTTTGTTCAGGCATTCCCGTTTGACGACGACAATTTCGGTCGACGAAGCGATATACGCGCTCATCTGGACGATCTAGCTGCCCGTCATCCGGAACTCGCCGAACACTTGTTGGGTCCACCTTGGGGCGACGTGCCTTTTCACGGTTCGTTCCGCAATCGTAATCGTGCCAACGATAACTACAGTAGCAACGACAACGGTCAACAGCAGCAGCAAAGTCACGGTGACGAAGACGCGAAGAGTCAGGCGAGTGGTAGCAGCGCCGGTAGCTCTTACGAAGAACCGGATAATCGGAATCAACAAGAAAGAGAGGAACAAAATAGGAACAGGAAGATACCTCAATACGGATTACGAAACACAGTGGACATAGGTCAGCACCGTCACAATATGGAGAATCCAGACAAAGGAAATCGCAACCAGCGTTCAATGTCCGCTCCGCCGGAGAACAGACAATCTGATAATCAGCAGCAACCTCAGCAACAGCAAGATCAGACGCAGCCACAGCAAGGACAAAGATACGTTTCGAGGATAGATATTACGCCACAGCACAATCAACCACCACCACAGCAGCAGCAGCCGCCGTCGCAGCAACAACAGAAACCTCAGCAGCAAAGCAATGTTAGACATATTCCAATTTTTGTCGAAGGTAGGGACGAGCCTGTACTCCCGAGGAGTTTCGCTGAAGAGGCTCCCTACTTCCGAAGGGAACCGTCGCCGACACAATTCAGTACACCGCCACATTTCCCACGGCACGATTCATCTTTCGGTTCGCGTTTCGGCGGGCGGCACCATCAGTGGCCTCCGCATTTTCAAGATTCTTTTTATCCGGCGTCCAGCACGTTCGAGAATCCTCCCAGAAAGCAGCAGCAACAGCATTACGAGCAGCCGCGACAGCAGCCTAAGCAAACTCAGCAACATGACGAACAGCCGAAGCAACAATGGCAGAAACCCGAGCAGAAACAAGCCGAGCAACAAGAGGCTGCACCACCGAAACCTAAACCTACTCTCCCGAAAGATCCTTTGGAGAGGGTGGCTCTCGTGCAGAAAGAAGTCGACTCGCTAGCCGAACAGGTCAACCAGTACACTGGGAACTCAAGGACGGACAAACAGTACATTTACCTGGACGAGATGCTTACCAGAGAGCTGATCAAATTAGACGATATTGAGACTGAGGGGAGGGAGAACGTCCGACAAGCGCGTAAAAACGCGATAAGGACTATTCAAGAAACGATTAGTTTGTTGGAATCAAAAGCGCCACTTGTTTCGCGACAGACGTCGATGGAAGAGCAAGCAAGGTGCGAAGATCAGGAGGAGAAGAGTAAAACAGAGGAAGAAGCAAGGCCGGAGGTAATGGACATTGATCAAAAATCTGATGGACAAAACAAGGAAGCTATACCATTACCGCCTGGTCCGTCTTCTCCGACGAAACCGTCTGAAGAGAGCGAACAGTCTTCCGCGGAGAAAGCGACGGAGGATACCGAGCGACGACAGCAGGAAGAACCGATGGACACGGGCACGACACCGGCGACTTCGTCGATAGCAGATTCGTCGGAGCAGAGCTCGGAGCAGACGAATCTTACGGAAGAAAAAGAGAACGCTGAGAAGAAAGAGGAGCTTACCTCCGAAGGGGGAAATTCGGAAAAAGTGAAGAACGTTTTCGAGGAGATCAAGCCGGAGAATGTTAGCAGTGAAACGGAGGCTGAAGCAAAACCAGAAAAAGTCGAGGATACCCAGAAAACAGAAGAGAAAATGGATGTGGACAGCAGCGAGGTGAAACAGTCGTCGAAATCGTCGAAAACGTCCAAATCACCGAAGAAAGGAAAGAAGACGAAAAAGCAGACGCCGGTTTCAGACACGCCGATACCGTTACCGGCACCAGATAATGCCGAGGCGAATACGAAGTAAAATAAAAGCTGGAATAGAACACCGGAGTGTGTTCGCACGATTTGTTATTATTCGCACTGAGACGTCTCTTCGTATAGCCTTCTTCCTGGCCTTTGCTAGTCAAGATGGGAATCGTTATTTAAAAAAGGAGTTCGAAGTTTCGAAAACATGAACGGAAGAAGGTCCTTCTCAGCCATAGTCTCCTCCATTCTCTCGAGCTTGTTCGTTTTTGGTGCCAGTCGATACGGAGTCGTGGATCGACTTGTTTCGAACGATCGCGCAACTTGCGTTTTTGTCTTTTTTCCCTTTTCCGTGTGTTTCGTTCTCTTGAAATTACCGTATCGCATATACTTCGCGATTGTTTCTGTAGATAGTGTAAAATGATCTCGACATGGAAGACCATCGATTTACCTCGGCGATTGTTCTTTCCTTTTTCGAGTAATAACATTTTTCATTTATCGGATAATTTATTTTGATTCTTTCGATTCTAATGGAACGCGTGGACAAAAGGAGGAGAAAACGGTATCGATGACGATCGAAAGAGACAATGTGGTTCATAAGAGGTATAAGAAAGTTCTTATACTTAACTAAGTAGTTCACGTCAGTTTTTTAATTACATTACTTGGAATTGTAATATGATCGCGAGAATTTTTATCTAAGTGCATCGAACGATGTTGGTGATGTTTCTACGTTCACAAACGCGCCTTCTCTATGCTTAGTATTACTCCGCATGGCCTGCCGGATGATGGAACAAATCTTAACGTTATTAATTATTTATAATTTATTAGGCCGATTTGTTGAACAATTCGTGCACGATTTCACCGTGCTCTTGTGGAATAAACTGCTAAAAGATAATAGTTCAAGAATTCACAGATTTTTACACGTATGTAATGAACGATGAGAGCGTTCCCTCTAAGAATTTGCAGGTTGACCTTCCTCTTTTCTGGAAAAGGTTTCAAATTACTGTAAGATAAAAAATTTATTTTTACAGCTTATATTTTCCAATAAGAATCATATCTGTGAATTTTTGCAAATCGACTTTCTTTCTCCAACAACTATGTAGTCACCGACGACTTGAGTGTGGTGCATACGAACCTCGTGTGTACGTAATTAGGATCGTATGTGGTCGTCTCGTAAGAGAAAGAGAAATGATGCATCTTGTCTAACATCGCCCTAAACTGAAATTAAACAGTTCTTGACAGAAGTTATCAAATTTTCTCGTTGCTCGCTTCGAGGACAGACAAATGGTAACGAAATATGGGACGCACTATTTTAGGGTTCCTTCTGCAGGGTGGAACTCATCGTCATTCTCCGTATTTTCTCTTTTGTTTTATTCTCCTTTCCTGTACGATGTGTCTCGTTTACGTAAAGATCGTGTGTTTTCTCAGACGTAAGTTTTGTATTACTTCTCGACTGTGCGTACGTGTGTGCACGCGTGCGAGCGCGCGTGCGTGCATGAAAGAATAAATGAGCGAACAGAGATGTGTGTACGATTAAAAATAAATGAAAAAACTATCGATAGAACGTTGTATAAACGAGTAAAAATAATTATTTTATGAACAAACTCGTTCAATTAAGAAAAAAAAATACAGACTCTCCACTATTTAAATCGTACCCACTAGTAATTCGACCATCTCTGCAAGTTATTTATTTAACGAGGAATGGAAAGGAATAAACGTCTGGCTTCTGTTCCTCACGCGCGAGAAAACATTTCGCAAAAGGACTATACAGCAACAAGGTGAGATGAAAAAGGAAATGCGTGGAAGGTAAAACGATGCGATGGAAATTCCGGGTATTAACAAGAGACAGAAGCAGAAAAAGGTGGAAGAGTAAACTCTTTCTTCTCTAGGCAACGGATAGTACGCGGTCGAAAAGTTGGCACAGCTCGAACGCGTACGAGTCTTCCGAAAATAGCCACAGCTACTTAGACTTCGAGAAGCGGACGTTTTTTTGCGACGCGATTGTAACGCGTACTACCATTCGGAAAATCTGAGCGACATTCTATGATGTCGTTTATCGAACCGATCCAAAGGAATTCTGTCCGGCATTTAACCCGGGAAAATGATGCTAACGTGCTGTCTGGAATTCGAAATTACTAACTACAAATTCATCCATTTATTCTTTATTTTGTACACAGACAGGAAGCGGAAAGTATAAAAATTTGGTGAGGACCACGTATTTTGTCTATAAAATGAATGGAGCTAATTTTCATTGTAACGCATATATTATACACAGAGCATAGATTACGCGAAGAGGAACTAAGCAAATAAAAAACAAGTTTGCTCTGATCGCAACCGAAATCAGCTTCGTGCCCTTGTTAAATACTAGTTCACGTTATTAATAAAAGTTCGCATCGTCCGTGTACATTACGAGGAATGCACTTATCGGTAACTTCGATAGAAAATAATTACAAATGACGCTATTCGTAACAAAATTATTGTACGTAGCAAATATTCGTGCAGCGAATCTGGTACGGCCTACGCGTGTTCAGATATATAATATCGCGGTAAGATCGTGGTTTATGCCGGTTCTTTCTTGTGTTTATGCATCTCAAAATCATCGTGATTGTCTTCGAAGCATATGGCGCAATAAAGATCCCCGTGGCAGCCTAAACAACGTTCTAAATTTTCCGTTTGATCGCACATCACACAGCTAGGCTTATCGTCGTCCATATCTGGCCTTTCCTACCGGATCAATTTTCATTAGAATTTAGTTCGCGTAGTAGCGTAGCTCTCATTTCATGAACGTACTTCCACTTCCATTTTCTCGACTTCGTCCTCTTCGTACTTCTTTTCCAATTCTGCCTCCACCAATGCTTTTGCTATTAACCTTTTCGTTATTTGTCCTTCATCGTCGTCGACGTCGTTCGACGAGCGTCTCCTGGACTCATCGCTGATACCTTGAAGAGATCTAAGTCTCGCTTGGATCTCATCGATCGAACTGGTACTCGACGTTAATTCCAGTTGCTCCAAATATTCCTTTATCAAATCATCCGTTTTTTGTTGGTCCGTTCTCGTATCGACGTGATTTATCTGGAACGTGTATAATATATATATATACTCCTAAAACTACGAATAGTATACCTTCGAAAATACAGTTTCAATTAAAATACGTTTATTTTGTTGTGACTAGCATCTGGATCTTCGTCTTTCAACAATGCTAATCTCCTTTTAATTTCGTCTACGCTCAAAGCCGCGTTTTTGTCCTCTTCCTTTAATTTTCGTAATCTATCGACTATCTCCTGATCGGCCGGCTCCAGACCTTTCTTAAATTTGTCCCATCGATTGGTGTGCTCATACATCACGATAGGAGGCTTCGCCGGGTTCTCCAGTAAATCTAGTCTGCATACAAAAAACGAAACCAATTTATATCGCGTTTCATCAGCGTGATAGCTAGGAGAGCGCAAATGGGAATACTTTTTGGTGATGTCCACGGGAGCCATCGGTTCCTCTCGTTCCTCGGACATTTCGTTAGTCAAATCGGATCTGTTCGCACCGGAATCGTTACGCTGTTTATTGGAACAACGTCCGCAGACCTTTTTTACTCCTTTACCTGGAATATCACATTTATATTTGAGGCACTTACCGCAGTACGCAAAACCGCAGCCCGGGCAAGCAACCTAAATGGTACAACAAAAAAATGAAGTGATGACAGAAATAAAGATCAATTCGAATAGACTCGCTTGGGAATCTGAGAACGCGAAATGAGACGTCAGCGTTAGAACACTGCGACGGACGATAACCAGGGTATAACCCAACGCGAATCTTTTACATCGAGCCGAAGATCGAACTTACTTCTTTCGTGAAAAATGAAAACTTTTTTTGACAAATATTGCACGACATTATGGATTTAATCGCACGAAGCCGCTATGTAGTCATAACAGAAAGTTGCACTTTAACTTTGTCTAACCCATTGAATGTTGACAGTCCTGTGACTTATACATGCAATGTATCTACACCCTGGGGGGGCAAACCTAAGTGGGGCGAGTTGAAGCAAAGTTTGTAGCGCCTCGTACCAATGGTTCACGAACTAAACATCACAACCACATCTTTAAAATATGTCCGTGAGCACTACCACATTCGTGCTACTGTCGGTGTAATGCTTAGTTAGTTAACCAATGGTAGGAGGCGCTAGTGACAGCACTACACATGCGTATAGAGTGTCAACCAGAATTTGGCGCGAAAAGAAAGACCACGTTTCATAAAGATTCGAGGTTATAAAAAGTCGGTTGCCTTTTAAATTCGTGTGAGTGGTGATCGTGGTGATCGAAGTGGTGTAAAGCGTGTAAAGTTCAATTAATCGTCGAAAATTAATTGGAAGTTTTAGGAAGAAGAGGAGCATACTGTAGTATATACAGTATAGACAATAAAAAGA